CTACAGGCCTCCGATTTGGGTGGAAGGCTTCAAAAAGACCCAAAGGGACCTCCTCCGCCCCCTTCCCGCTGCCTGTAACTGTATGTACCCGACAGACCTCCTATGTGCTTCGCCGCCGCAGCAGTGCGTTGGATTTGGAAGGCCTCCGAAGGCAGCGAAAGGCACAAGAGTGGACCCCCTGAGCCGTGTGGCCTGTACCCCCCGGGCCCTTGGTCATCAGCCTGCTTGCTCTTGAGACCGTGGCCGCCTTCGTCGGCCTTCTACCCCGGAGGCCTCCAGATGATGACGATGATGTAAACCCACCGATCGGGTGGGGCGGGATGCCATCTCATCCCTGCAATTGTTTTACCTAAGAGGGTCGCCCTCTTTAAGATAAGAGATTGCCCCTACTCGACCCCGCAGAGAGAGGCCAGACCCGCGCCCGCCACCTCTCCGGGGGACCCCAAGGAGGCGAGGGGAGCTCGTTTCGCTTGCTCTTACCCTCCTGCACTGCCTCCCCCTTCATCGGGGGGTCTCCCCTTAAGCGGCCCCTTCATTTCGGCCGTTTTTTTTTTCTGTTCTGTTCCCTTCGTGGTCTTTTTGGCCTCATTTCGTCCGGCGGTCCCTTTGCCAGGTCTCCGCCCTTTCTCTCCTTTTTTCTTCACTTCTGTGCTGGCTCCTTTCCTCTCCTTCGGTCTTGTTCTTTGTTCTCGTTGCTGCTTCCTCTTCACTGCTGTGGGGCTGCTCTGCGCCCCCCTTTTCTTGAGGGCGTTGCCCTTCTCCTCCTCTTGGTCTCCTGGCTGCTTCTTCCCCTTCTTCCCTTTTCTGAGGTCTATCAGCGGCTCCTCCGCTGGCCGCTTTTCTCCTCCGTCCAGCCTTTTCCGCCCCTGGGGGCTTCCGGAGGCCTCCCGCCTGCGTCTGGGAACATGCTGAGAGGCACAAGGGGACGCCCGCGGCCAGTTTTGACGAGAATGCGCGCAAAGCCAGTTTTACACCACACCGAGAATACGCGCAAAGCAGCTCGGAAAAGAGCGCGCGAGCGCCAGGAGCGCAAGGCCATCCACCACAGGGGGGCGCGCCGTGCGCCCCTGTATCATGTATGTTTTAGGGCTGCACAGCGCCCCCCCCTGTGGTAGGGTCTGTGGAGGCGCGCGCGAGCGCTTTTCCGCGCTGATTTTCGCAGACTCTAGTGGTGGAAGGCGTCAGAGCTTGGCTAAGGGACCTCCTGGCCCCTGCTGACCCTCGCAGGCGGGAGGCCTCAGGGGTAAAAGGCGGCCACAGTCGTAAGACCCAGCAAGCCGATGACCAAGGGCCCGAAGGGTACAAGCCGCCCGGCCCAGGGGGTCCTGCCCCTCGCCTTTCGCCGCCTTCAGAGGCCTCCTACAACCGGCGCACAGCTGCGGCGGCGGAGCATATCGGAGGCACTTAGGGCACAAGCAGGCGCCTGAAAGGAGGCGGGGGCGGTCCCTTGGGCCCCTTTTGAAGCCTCCCACCTATGTCAGAAGCCTCTAGGAGGTAGCCAGGCAGCTGGAAGGGAGCGGAGGAGGCCACTTGGCCCCCTTTTGAGGCCTTCCACCTACCTCAGAAGCCTCTAGGGGACAACCAAGCACCTTGAAAGGAAGCAGAGGCGGCCCCTTGGGCCCCTCTTGAGGCCTTCCACCTACGTCAGAACCTCTAGGGGACAGCCGAGCACCTGGAAGGGTGCGAAGGAGGTCACTCGGCCCCCTTTTGAGGCCTTCCACCCCCGGCAGACACCTCCAAAAGGGGCCCGGGGCTACCGGTACCCCCAAACCCCTACGCTAGGGGGAGGTACCGTAGCCCCAAAACCTAGAACATACATAATAATATTGGAATGGACGAGGGAATAACCTAGGATATACTCATCTTCTGAGCAAGTCCATTGTTATAGAATGCACAGCTGATTACTATGAACATAAGCGCGTCTAAATCATTTGTTACCTCGTGAAGACAGATGACCTGCTTGGCCACCTCGCTGAGCTAAAAATAATTCGACGAACGAAAAAATAGAGTCGACCCATCAAGAAGCCCTCTGCTGATATCAGACTACTTCACAAGTACCTGCTCAATACTTACGTCACTCTCTCTATTGAGGCAAAAATACTTAGTAACCCCAACATATAATTCAGGTCGTGCTCATTTCTGAGATTAAAATAAAAACGATGAGGTTGGCCATGACTGATCAGCATTAAAGAGGAAGATACTCGGATAGGATCGGTAGCATAGAATAGGCATAAGATCGACAGGATAGGATTAGGACAGTCAGAATAGGATAAAATAGGATAGGATAGGACAGTATAGTAGCAGTAATGTGCCCAATCGTGGGGTATAGGTGCTATTCTAGTAACTCGTTGTTGTTCATGCATCCCGTTCACAGAGAGACCCATGCTGATGCGCTCGTCCTTAAAGAGTATGAAGCGTTTCTTAAATTTTCTTGCGCTCCTTCACCCAGCACCGCCTGATCTTTCCCTGCGACGCTGGCAGCTTTTGCTTTGGCCTTCGCCTTCGCCTTCGGTTTCTTCTTGCTCTTATTATACATTAGAAAGAGAAAGACGAAACAAGTTGTGATTAGTAGATTGTAGAGGTGATCTAATTAAAAATTCTGATTGCTTCCTTATAGGCATATTTATAAATTCGAGTGCTGCGGGATCCCCTCTCAAGGAACTACCTAGTACTGGTTAGGTCAGGCAGCTTCTATGGATCCTACACATGCACATCCGAACTACACCTAGTACACTTCTGACGAATCACTGCTAGTAATACAACAACGTACAGAACTTCATCTGGCCTCCTAGAACGAGGAACCTACCTAGACGAAGCAGCTAGTTAAAAATATCTATCAGTTCCTACCTTGTTACGTGTTTCGGTTTCCTCCGCCATGCTTCCTAAGTAGAAGATGACCTCACTTTTACAGCAAATAACACTTCAACAACTAGAGTACTTGTACAATATGAATATGTCACGATTTTTAAGAGTGAAAATTCGAGTACTGTTGTTATGCATGCGACGTATAAACTAGGCCTAGGTGGTAGATCTTCATCATCATGAAGATCATCAGTGTCGAGACTGATAATCTGTTGATGAAGATTCGAGAAAGGATGGAACTCTATCCGCAGATCAGGAGCAAGAACCACCTGTACTACTAGCCTCCTTAACTTCTTCGTCAACTTATGACATAAAGATTCTCAAGCTCTACGAACACCTACCTACTCCTACAACCTTACCAACTACAGAAGATATAAAAAGTACGTCGTAGCACCTTTGAGTAACTGAACTGAACAACCTTACAGTAATTATCAGCTTTGAAGCAGAGAGAATTGTGCAAGAGGACGAGATCGCACTGCTACCTTACAATAAGGAACTGCGAAGTTAGTACAAAGTGTAGTTGTTTAGTAGCTTGAAAGAATACGCAGTAGAACCTGTACAACGAACCGAGTCATTCATTCATTCATTCATTCATTCATTCATCTGCCTTAACATTTTTCTTTTTGATGGCTCCTGTGTGGCCGCTCCTTCGTCGCCTTGTGGCCGCTCTTCTTCCGCCACTTCTTCTTCTACTGTGTATAAATCACAGCCGCAGAGAAGATCCTCACTGTCGTCCTCGTCCTCGTCGCTTTCGCTTTCGCATTTTTAGAGCTATAATATGTGTACACTAAACAAAGCTAGGATAGGATGGAGTGTCTGACCTACCAGAAGCAAGGCATTCACGACTATGAAGAATAGAATTTCGAAAGGGAACATAGTACATACAAAAACGCCTCAGGTGACCATGCCCGGTCATCGGCAAGACGAAACAATTCCAGCGACGATCAGAGTCAAACGAAACAACTCAAGGGAACACCAACACAGTTAGAGCTTCAGCTTGTTCTGTCATTATACTATAATCTCATATAACTATCATATAAATATTGTTTGGAGGGCGAAAATCAACCAGCCATAATCATTATCACTATCCCCAGGCGTTCCTCTCCTAGGGGTCATCGCTCTCGTCTTAGCCGTTCCTCTAGGCGTTCTAGCTCCGCTCTTCTTAGAAACAAACTGTGAAGAACATAACCAAAACCATGTATGTTTATATAGCAGATATAAAGTTGTGACCCCTTTATTAATGGTCTTTAGGTGTTCTTGTCGATCAAGTTCAGGTTGTGATTCGGTTGACAGGATCTGCGTCGGCAGTCTTTCCACTTCTTGCATAGGATAGTGGTGAATTTCATCTCGTCCTCCGAGTCCTGAGATTAATATAGATGAAGGAACACGAACAAATCGAAATGACAATCTGTAGAAATGAAGAGTTCATCGGGTCCCGCCTTAATCCGCGATAAGAAAGAGCTTGGCCCTCCTTCGACGTGGTTGTCAGTGCTGCCTGCACCATCACAAGAGCACGCTGAGTCATATGTTGCACGCTGAGCTTAGCGGTAGGGCTCTTTCGGTGTTTCTGTTCCCCGTTTGATAGGCTCCACCTCGTCGGTCCCCCTTACGAGAGTCAAAACAAGAGGCAACAGAAACGCCAAAAGCCTACTACCATCCATAAAAATACTTATTATCATGATGATGCACACCAATGGGCACAACTACGACTGTGGCGCTCCTGGCAGGTTCTTGGACATGAGGATCGTCCTCGACGAAGTCTGCGGCACTGGTGTCAGGAGAAGACGGAGTAGATCTAGTTGTAGTATTAAAAATAACACTCTTGTCCCATGCGGTAATCTGGCTTGTGCTGTTCCTTTCGCTCAAATTAGAGATCCTTGCCGTGTTCTTCCAAACACTTCGAGTATCGTTCAAGCTGTTGCTGTTGAGAGAGTCAGTAGATGGGGAACTGATACTTCCAATCCTTGCGGTACTAGTATTACAACTATGAGATGAAGCGGATACTCTAGTAGTGGTCCTCTCAGTTGTCCCTGCTAATGTACAACTAGGAGAAGCGTTGGTGGTGGTGGTGGTGGTGGAATTGCTGGTAGGACTAGAAGAAGCGTTGGCGGTGGTGGTGGTGGTGGTGGTGGTGGTGGAATTAGTACGAAAAGAAGTGGCAGTCGTGTTCCTCAACACCGTCGTAGTTGTCGTCGCTGCAATCGGAATCGTCGTGGTGGACGTCGTGCTAGTTGTACTAGAAGACTTGCTAGTAGAAGACCTGCTGTCAAACAACGAAGCAGAGCCACGAAATTTCGATTGTCTTATTTGACCACCTAGTACTCGGCCAGCTTCTATTTCTCCACCTTAGAATTAGAAGAGAGAGCTCAAAGCGAAAGTTCACTTGGCTTTTTCTCAGAATGCATCCAAGAAAAAAATGAGCAGAGAATAACTGATAAGCGTGAGGTTTAAAAATATACTACTGAGCCATAATCTTTTCCAACAACGGAGGGACTCAAATTTCTATGTTGTTGGCCACCGTAGGTAGTGCTTCCTTCAGTCTTATTAGCCGGGTGACCACGACCGTAGAACAACTGCATCAGGAACTGCGATATTGGTCCTGAAGATGATGCTCCTCCGGCGTCGCTCCGGTGATTAGAAAGAATCGCAAACAAGGGAGGAACAAGACAAGGGAAAGTTAAGCAGGGCTTGTTCTCTCTATTGCTGCTTTGTTCAACGAGAAAGCACAATAGAAAATAAGCAGAGGATCCTTCTAAGGAAAAAAGCTGTGATGCTCACGACGTGGTGTAGTAGTTTCATCTCAACGACAAGAGAAATAGAAGCACGAGTAGAAGACGACGGGGGGTTATACTTCGGCTTCGCGGAAAACTAGTATGAGAGATATCATCTTAACAGTAGCAATCTGTTCCTGGGCCATCTCAACATCTGCATCTGGTGCTTGAGCCTGCTGTTCCGCCCACTGTTCATCTCCTGCTTGCTTTTGTTCCCGCTCTGCGATGTAGCTGTCTGTAGAAATCGACCCTCTAAACGACCTCTTTTTAGTTCTATTCGTCCACAGGTGCCCAGCATTATGTTAGAGCCAAGTATTAAGCGAGATCCATCCGCAGCAGCATCCTGGGCCCCCTTTTCCCTTAAAAAACGGGACCCCGGTGCCTGTGAAGATGGATTTCCTGTAGCCCTATTCATGATCCACTTGCTCTTGTAGTTCATACTGAGCAGGCGTCATAGTCCCTTTCATCTCTTGTCTGATATTTCGAGTTCCTCGTAGTTTTAGGCGCGACTTATTTCCTTCTCCTGTGTGTATATTGTTATTGGAGGACCACTGCTTCCGAAGAAAGGGCGACTGTTGTTGACCTGCTCTACGCTTAGAAGAAGAAGAAGTACTACTTTCTTGTACTACTTCTCCAGATAAAGATGAAGAACTTGTTCTTGCACTACTTGCTGAGGAGGCATCTTCGTCTCCATCTGGGAAGTTAGCCACTGAAAGTTGTTCCACCAAGATGTTCGTTCGTTCTTCGTCATCTTCTCCTTCTCTTTCTTTTCGTTTCAGCAAATCCCTTTCGAACCCTTCGGTCCCCCTGATGTTGCTGGTGGTACCCAGCAGAAAGAAGGCAACCACGTCGGACAGGGACATTAAGAAGACACGACCACGTCTGCTGGCCATTATTCTAGTCCCCGTCTTCCTCTTTCTGCTTGTTCTTGTCCTCTCTCTGCTCGTCATCTTGCGGCCCTTCAAGTTGAAGTGGTAATGATGATGATGCTCCACTAGTGATGTGGTTCTACAACTCCGCATCCTGCTTGTAGTGCGGCTATCACACGAACGAGTACAGTGCTGGTAGGTGTAGTCCACCACGTGTAGTTCCTGAGGGAGCTCACAAGTGCCGTGGAAGTAATGAAGAACCTTCTTCATATTTTCTTCCTCAGAGCTGTCCTCCTTCTTCATAGGTACGCCAACATGCAACACGTGATAGGTGTCACAACTTTAAAATGCTTTTGCTTTTCATTGGAATACGTAGATCATTAGAAGGGTCTAGACATAAGAACTCAATCTAAGGAGCAGGGTTTACTTTCGGTGGTAGGGCGAGAAGGTCGCAGTGTGATAGGTGAGAAGTCTCAGTGTCTGCACTCCAGAGTCTTGATATGCAGACATTTCCGACCGATAGGATAGGATCGGCATCGCCTCGCATCCGGATAGGTGAGCATTCACGACCGAATTAGATTTAGATTTAGAGGGGTTCCCGCCTCAGCCCTTTGTTCCAGTTGGTGCAGCGTCAGCGTCTTCTATTGGTATTGTGCGTGTTGCAGGATTTTCCGGCTTCCCGTTCTTGAGGTTGGGTTTAGGGTTTAGGGTTGGGTTTAGGGTTTAGGATCAGCAGGAATTACGATTGAGTCTCACCGCATATGACAGACAATGACGATACCGATGCTAGGCTGTGAACGCAATGGACTGTAGTGAAATCATTTTTTTTGGCAGGCTTCACAATCCGCTAGTTCCTGACAGAAGCTTCTCTCAACTAACTAGACCTAAACTCCGACTTATAGCTAACCTCCGGCCCGCCGAAGCAGGACGCGGAGGAGCAACACACGCAACAAGCGGCGGAGTAACGCTTGAGCCAAAATGGCTTGAGCCAAAATGGCTACGGAACCGATACCGATGATAGGCTGTGAACGCGATGGACTGTGTTACAAGACCAAGCTATACCGATGTAGGCTGGAATAGCTTGGTTTTGTCAAAATACCGAAATTCCTTCATTTGGACCGACATTCGACGTGGTGCTCGCTTCTGGAGGTGACACGATAATCGATCCACCTAGCGGTGGAGCAAAAATGGCTTTTATAGTTGTCTACTAGTTGAATCATATTAATTTATACATTTCGAAGATCATCATGCTACTTACACGTAATTATAACGATATAGTCTTGTTCGATGATCGCGTCGTCGACAACCACATGTGCTGTAGCATAATCAAAAGATGCAGATACAAGTTTACGGCTACGTTATTTTTAGATACAAGAATTTTGAAAATACTACATGTACATTTTGAAAAGCCAATTTGCAAATCTCATACGTACCGGTAGTTTCTTCAGCTTCACAGGTTATGAACATACAGGACGGACATTGATATTGTGTTGGGATCTTTTAGGATACAACTAGGGAAGATAGAATTAGAAATCCTAGGATGATGATTGCATATTGGATGAAGATAGGATGAGCACACCACATGCAAGAAGAAGAACTAGGGGTCGTCAGGGCGTAACAAAAATAAAAATTGCTAGGGTTCCTTGAATGATTTCAGTCTATTTCGTTTCGCCTGTAAAATTATTCGACTTGTCGAGCGTATGAATGCGATTAGTTTGCGTCACAGTGACCATGTCTAAACGTGCTAAGTACGTATGAACGAATGAATGTAAATGATATTGGAGACAATAGTGATGCTATTCATGAGTTCTCGTCATTTCTCTGTAGGCTTCTAGTAACTCTTGTTAACTGAACTACTTGATGCAAGTACTATGATGATCTGCGTAATCCTAATGTTGTTAGAAAATGTGTACTGGAAATTCTATGAAAATCTATCGAGATGTAAGAGTAAGAAAAATGTCAAATACATAGCAATCTGATCTAGTTCTGCTTTTGCGAAAATCGGATTGAGCAATCCAAATACTTCGTTCTTCTACCTAGGATGATGTTGTAAATTGTCGTCATCTACTACCCTTTTCTTGCTGCTTTCTCTAGTACTCTCTCATACCCTTCCCTACTCGTTGATGTTCTCTCTGCTTATCTTTACCTTGTTCCAGCATCAACTTGACTAAAATACTGAGTTGTCCAAGGTACTCCGACTACTACTACCACTGCTACACCCCTATATACCTATTTTCATGGTGTACTAACAGTACAACTAACCCCCTCGTCTCTTACTCCTTCTCGTTCGAAACCCCTTCTCACCGAGCCAGATGAAGGTGCTACACGACCTACAACTGGCTCTACTATTCTTCCTCTAAATTTCTCGTCTGAATGCTTCATAGGAAGCTTTCCGCTTCTTGCTCCAGCACCTCACTTTCGTCAGAATCAGCTAGTTCGTCATTCTCATGTGACCAGAGTTAGAAGGTGAAGGTATGCCTATCATGTCTACTATCATTCGGACACAGTCCACAACACGTCACTTATCTACTTGTGACGCCGTAACTTCTTCAACCTCCTGAAGTCTGAGTGATCGTGATGTCTACTATCATGTCTACTATCTCTATCTTTTCTTCCCATCCCGAATTATAATCCTCCTCCTCCTGTACGTAGTGACAAAAAATTTAGTATTTAAACCTAAAAGAGACCTTAAAAATCTAAATCCTCCACGCTTCCTTCCGGTGAAGCTTCAACTTCCACCCGCCGATTCAGGAAGGACGTCGACGCAGAACCGACAGGTGAGACAGAAGCTCCACCAATTGGTCTTTGAGGATGCGGCTCCAAAAAGCTTGTGACTCCTGCTGCACCTAAGAAGTAGGACGCAACAGAAAAAGATGACTGAGAATCACATCGTCTTCTAGATAAAAGACAACTACGTCGATCTTCTACCAAATTTGAATACCTTCTGCTGCTTTCTCGTCGTTCTTCTGGAATTTCTCTAGTTCGGCTTGGAGGAGTTCGTGTAGCTTCACTATCTGCGTTGTCGAAATTTCATTTTTCGCCCCAAGAGCAGGAGCATCTTCCCCTTTAGAAGCAGCAGCAGCAGCAACCTTGGCGCTTTTGTTTTAGAGCTCAAAACATTTCATTTCTTCCCTTCATTTCTCCACAATTTCAAGAGGGAAACTGCGAGAAATGAGTCGTGGAAATGCAATATATTTTTGAGCCTTAATTGTAGTTGTTGTGCTTGCTCTCATCAGCAGCAGTAATTGCAGCTCCTGTTTCCTCCAGACCACGACCATAGACATGCTTCTGTACATGCTGACGTCGGTACTCCTTCTCTTCTGGTGACAAGTCTGCGACACCATGATCGTCGAACAGCAGATGCTGTTGGGCTTCGTCGCCGAAAAGCATAGCTGCCAATTGCTTGTGCCGCGGATGGTGATCCTCATATGGAATGAAAGGCTTTGCTTTTGGTTGTGGAGAAGGACGTGTAGGTGAAGGTACAACAGCAGGTTCTTGATCCTGATCTGGAAGATCACGTTCATGTACATCCTCTAGAATTCCTTGCACCTGTTTTGGCGCTACATCCTCGTGTACGAGGAGCGCCTCGTCTTTGTGATCTTTCACACCTGCTTGCGCTCGATGTTGTGCATGATGCTGATGCTGTGCATGTGCTGGTCCATCTTTGGCCTTGTGCTCATCGTCCACTGGCTCTGGATGAAGATCCACCTGTGCATGACCTCCCGTTTGACGTACTACATGTCCGGATGAAGCCCCTCCTGCCTTATGCTTGCGGTCAACATGGTCTTGTTCTCCAGCTCCTGTCATCTTCTTGCCATCATCGTCGTCATCATCAACATCATGATGATGTGCTTGATGAGGTTGTACCTGTTTCCCATTTGGAGGGTCTGGTAGTAGTTGTGCTTCCTGTACAGCTGGCGGAAAAATGCTGGACCAAATCTGACTCCACAAAGAAAGCTCGACTTCTTCTTCTACCACAGGATGAAGATCATGTCCCTGATCATGATGTGTACTACCTCCGAAGATAGGGAGGTCTCCATCAACGTGAACAACATCAAGATCTCGATGATCTCCTGTAGTCGTACCAGCACTACTTCTAGATGAGAAGTAGGTACCAACCAACTCCTCTGGACGTAAACCGCCATGTTCATCTTCTTCTTCAAGACGAGCAGCGGCTTGTTCTTCAGATGCAGTTAAATTAGAGCTCAACAAAGCAATCCATTTCATGTTGCCAGCATTTCTCCCAATCGATCCTAGGAAGGACCACAGCACAGGGAGAAAAGCAAGGCTTGGTTGTAGAAATGAATTCTATAATTCTTGAGCAGCCTTAATCAAGTAACCTGGAGGTGCTGTAGAAAAAGGATCTTCTTCTTGTTCACCTTGCTGATGGTGCTGATCATGGTGCTGTCGCAAGTAATCTTCTAGAAGGTCTTGGGGACTATCGACATCTGCCGAAGAGTCCTCCTCTTCTTCGGCATAGTAATAGCTGTCTTGATCATGTCCTCCACGTCCAGGTAAAATAGAACTTGCTCCTAGTAAAGAAGTAGAAGACTTGTGCTTATTTTCACTTTCTCCTAGGTGAAGCTCGTGCACATGCGGTTGTTGAAGATGCTCCTTTGCATGATCGTGTATGTCCTGAAGGTCGCTGTCGTGAATGTTGTTGTGAAGGTAGTTGTAGTGATCAACATGGTCGTGTAGTTCGTGATGATCTTCTACCCCGGTTGTACTCGTCACATCTTCCCTGCTAGTATGAAGATGGTGCGCATGATGATCATGGTGAAGATCCACAATACTAGTATGCCCGTGGTGATCCGCGTGGTGCGCATGCCAATGGTGATGATGAGGATGATGCTGCTGATCAACGCCTTTGCCTTTCTCACGACCTTTCGAGTGATGATGGTCTCCATGAAGGTGATGGTCGTGAAGATGGAGGTGATCGTGATGGTGATCTACTCCTTTACCTCCTAGTCCTTCTGCACCTTTACTAGGACTGTGGCGGTCTGCAGGATGTCGTTTCGACAGGAACTTGTCTTCATGCCGCGTATGCTGATCAAGAGAAGCGCCCAACGCGGCACAAGCGTAGATGAACTGGCAGTAGAGGAGCAATCGGCGAACCAGGAGGTGTCCGGCGCGTGTTCCCAAGCCCGCCAACAGTTTCCACGTAGAAGAACAAGAAGAGGTACTCATCTTGATGTAGTTTTTTCTTGTACTTCTAGGTATAATTAATGGCGTAAGTGTAGTAGTGGTCAGAGAAATTCTTGTCAATGAAAGTCGTGGGAGGAATGCATAGGATGGACTAAACTCAAGCACTGGGAGAACTTTCTTAAATCACGGGGACAGGAGGTTGATACAAGGTTTATTAGGCAGATAGTCAGAGTATGAGAAAACAAACCTTGAAGTATAAGATCACGACTGTTACAACATCAAAAAAATATTTCCTGAGGTAAAAAGACTAGAACGATTTGTAATTCCTTTTCGGTATGGTTGGTATTGGCAAAGGTAGATGATTTATTTTTCAGAAAGCAGCTTTGGAGAAGATCGCTTTTAGTTACTTACTTTTAAAGGTTGAAACACTTCATTTTTTAGTAGCAATCTCAAGTAGAGAAGGCTTGTAAAAATGAAATGTTTCAACCCTGAATACTTCATTCTTTGAGAACAAGATCCATGTTGGTACCGACAACAACATCCTTACACAGAACCAGATAATGAAGCTGAAGTTAAGGTAGTCGTACTTACATTTACAAAATTCATAGCACTGTATTAGGGAGTGGCGGTTGGAGGTCGCGGGTGTAAAGATGGAGTTAGTTTGAGGACGATCGACCGAATAACCGATGTGGAGATTGAGGCAGGCTCTCCTTCTCTCGTCATAGCCCTCGATTTTGACATCACCGACAGCCTCTTCACAACAGCACCTTTTCATCGCTAGACTGATATTTTCCCTTCGATACGTTCTACAATGAATTGAATGATAGAACGCTTCATCAAGAAGAGTGTCCGTCGAATCACGCGCGCCTGCACAGAAAACCAAGTACTGTACTCAAAGAGCATAATCCACAGAAATTACTACTGATTAGGACAAGTGAAAGAAACAAGGTGTAAAGAGTGCCTTAATCTGACATAAGAACAACATGGACGAGAACATCAACGAACGAGAGGGCAGGACGAGTCGGGAGAAGTAGATATGGAACGTAGATCATGAAAAAAGGAATGTGAGCACATTGAGAGAACAAAGATCATGGAGCAAGAGTATGGAAATATATATCAAAGAAAAGTGTAGGGAACAAAGGATAAACCCCACGAAAAAGCTGCCTGTTAATCCGAATCTTCCCTCCCAAGAAGAAATAATACAATGAGCCAGACCACTACCGGCAGAGGAGAGGAGCCACCCATCATCTCCTCCAGCATGGCCTTAGTTGTTTCCGTACTTGTTCTCTTTCGTGTACTGTGCGTAAGAAATCAGCTCTTGTTGAATCAAGCGCTGCGACTCAAGTTTGGTCTTGTCCTCATCGGTGTAGTACTTTTTCCACTGTTTTTTGATCCAGGTATCATCGATCCAGTGCCAGTCCTCGACTTCTTTCAAAATGCGTGTCGCATCCGCTTTCGTGTAGTCGCAGGTGTTGTACAAGGCTTGCCAGATGGCTTTCACTTGATCTGCGTCATTGAATTTCGCTGCGAGCTGACCGGCTTTCTGCTTGCTCAAATCGCTGCACGAGTCAATCTCTTTCAAAATTTTCTCCAGATTTTTCGGATCGTCTTTCAGACGCCAGGGTTCCTGCGTCATCATCGTGAACACGCGCTGGCCGCTTTCCTGCTTGCTTAGGTCGACGGAATTGTAGAAGTAACGGAACCATGCGTCAATCTGCGTCTTATCTTCCGGTAAGTGACTGAGCGAGACCCATTTCCCACTAAGCTCCACGAGCTTGTTGCGCGCGTCTTTTTTCGGAAGGTCCCACTTCATATACAAAAAGTCCCACACTGCTTGCACCTGAGCTTTCGACTGCCAACCAGCATCTCTTTGTGCCGCTGCGTCTCCCTTTGAGAAGTCCGCTTCGAGGTACAAGAACTGGCACAAAGCCTCAGGATCACGCGCTTGCCTCAGCATTTTTTACTACAAGAAAGACAACAAGAACAAGGAGAATTCTTATCACATAAATGATGAAAGTCTACAACTACTTTGCGATACCTCCCGATATCGTTTGATTGAAAAATATAATGCAGGGAAAACTGAAGGGAAAAAGAACAATTAGTGATGCTACTCCGAGTTGGGAGCTTGACGCATCACCACCGCACTCAAATCCAATAAAATCCTGTTGCAAGTCTTGAGCCAAATGGCAGCAAGACAAAGTAAGAAAAGCATGGGAAATCAATGGTTTTGATTGTCATCAATCATCAACATCAAGACCGTTTTCTCATAATGTTGCAAGTTTGTAAAACTTGCAACTTCCTGAAGATCAACCTTGACCCAAGGTTTCTCCCTACTACTAGTTATTCTATTCACACCAAGAACCTAGAGCAGAACAGCCGTCCCAGAAGATCTCTACCTTATCCCGATCTATGGAGCTCCGTCCTGATGACCATTAAGGATAGGATCTTTTTACTGGCGGACTGAACATTTCTAAGGATCTGGCGCGGCCTCCTGCCGAGGCGTTTAAGGTTTCAGGATCGTACTTACTTAGGATCTTAGTGGTGGAAATTTACCCAACTTGTTTATCCTTGTGATTTAGATTTTTAATCTTTTGAAAAGTGTGAATATGTTTCTCTTGGTTTTGACAGTGACGAGTCACAACAATTAGCACAGTGGGTCTCGATTACTTGCCTGCGACTGCTGAAGGCCAAGAACAGCGATAGTTATATTTCTACTTCCGTTTAGAATTTGATGTTATGTTGGAATCCTCCAAATGTCCGTCGTGTTATAGGCGTAGTTGTTTGAAACTATCTCCTATTTTTCCGACTAAGCACAAAGTGCAATCCTTGAGCCACTGAGAGACTACGGCGAGCATGATTTAATTGACAAAGCCCTTGCACAATCTTGTCTACTTTTCGATTCACTGGACCACCACCACAGGATCTTCGAGTTATTGTTTCTCTTTCTCTATCGAAGACGAAATTCATCTGTAATATCCTGTCCATCACCTCCACATTTCAATAGATCTATCCTGTCCATCACCTCCACACATCACCAGAAGATCAAGTATCTCGTTTCAACAAATCAAGTATCTTTCATCGCCAAAAACTTCTCCTCCTGCTCCATGATAAATTGGAATATCTTTTTGGCAAGCTCTGGCTTCTCGCTATTTTTGTCCGGATGCCACTTTAACTTGAGGAACTTCATCGTTTTCTTCTTGCTCTCCAAAGACTCCGTTTTCTGCTTGCGGAGGTCGTGGGAGGTGTTAGAGATTTGGACGAGGAGGTTCTTTACCGTGGTAAATAAGAATAACCTGCTGGTGGACAAGTACTAAATGTATTAGGCTTGCTAGTAAACGACGTATAGTACGTGCTACAAAGTCTGGAAAGGTCCTCTGGAAAGTAGGTGGAAATTCCTCTGAAAACATGCTAGAAGTAATTTGGATGAACAGCACAAGCAGCACAGCCAAATAATTCCACTACAAGAAACTTAACTAGTAGAGGCGACAAGGACAACGAGCAACAAATCTAGCCTTAACAATCGACCCCGTTATGCCCTTGACCTCTTCTCCTTCGTTCGTCTCCGCCTCAAAGAGTTCTTTCTCATGAATATCCTCCGCCGTAAAACTGCTACTCCTTTTCCTGTTCCACGCGTTTGCTCGATTACCTGCATGTCCTCTCGCATTACCTGCATGTCCCTCTCCTCCAGCTTGGTGTTGTTGTGCTCTACTTGAAGAAGTTCCAGAATCATCTTTGGCACGGTTCTTGAAGAATTCCTCTTGCAAATTCCTTCTCCTCTCCTGATTCTCTGCTGCTCTTCTTGCGTACTCTCTTGCTCTTCTTGCTTCGAACTCTTCCTCACGACGCGCTCGATTTTCTTCTGCCGCTTTCTTCGCCTTACTTCTTCCTTCATCTGACGATGAACCTGAACCATCTGGCGGCTGCTGTTGTTGGCCTGTATCAGTACTACTAGAAGCAGCAGGCGTGAATCTGGAATTTTCGCTTGCCCTTTTCTTCCCTTTTTTGCTGGATTTTGAAGTTGTGCTCTTCTTGTCAGGAGAAGATGAACCTTTCTGCTGCATCTCGGTGCCCGCGGGTGCTTGTTGTTAGAACGAACGACTTTGACTTGATGAAAGTGGATTCAAGATAAATTAGAGGTAGGTTTTTGGTGCTCGCTTACCCCGCTTGTTATGCCATTCTCCCTTAGGTTTAGGAGAGGCATGAAAAGCGGTAAGAAAAGCACCTTTAACCTACCCTTAAATAAAGTGGAAATCAAGAGACGTGAATGATCTGCAAAAAAAACTAAAACCCTAGATGAAGCCATAATTCCTAGTAAAGACACCTTCCGGTGTGATCACGGTCCCATATTCCTGATCGAAACCGTCTAACTTCGCTTGTCTCTCCTTCTGAACCGTTTGATAATGCTGATAGGCACAGTAACCACCACCACCAAGAATCACAATGACAACGAGGGTAACGATAATCGCTGTGGTACCTGGTTGTAATTAGAGTGAAGAAAGTAAAATTGGGGAAGATTTAGAATAGATTATCATTTTGGTGCTGAGGAAATGAAAGCGATTATTCGAAGTTACTTATAATCGTCAGAGCACCTATAAGTAGATTTCACTGTTGCGGAGAAAAATAAAACAACGAACTACGAGTTTATCCTCAGATCTAGGCGTCTATCATTCATTCTTTTCATTCATCTGTGCTCGCAAGAAAGGTCTGCGTTGACTCCACAGTGTGGGCCTTGTTAACTCGAAGCTTGATGGATTGATTGATTGATTGATTGATTGATTGATGTGCCTGGCATGAGGTCATTGTTTGGAAGAATTCTATTTCTTCTTTTCAGAAACGCCAGTGAAAAGGTGTTAAATACCTCCTCCATCCTCATCCTCGCTATCAGATTCTGCAGATGCTGTGTTCAGGACGCTTTGGCCAGGATTGTTTGTTGCACCTGTGCCATCCGACTCCGTCACAAATTGTACAATAATGTCGCTGACTGGGTTTGCTCCGGCACTATCCGCCACGTCCGCTTTGTTCACGAAGAAAGGGTATTAGGATGAAAAGATTTCATTATACTTTATGAACATTTTGACGACAATCATACTAAAATGGAAAACGAACTCAGAGCCACGCCTATTCTTCTAGAGTGGACGACTAAGGGACCTCTACTGCAAGACAAATCCAGACCTTCCTCGATTGAACTTGAAAATCTATGACCACCTGATGATTTGAATCTATTCGGCGAGCTGCCTAAGATTTCCCAGACGAGTTCTACCCGCTAGTCTAGCTTGTTGTTGGATTGTTATTGGTCTGTCGATTGTTCCTGTTGTTCCTGATGATGAACGACGAGAATCTATGACCACGACCTATCCTCAAGGTATAATTCTGTAAATAAAACTATGATCTAAGTATGACCACCTATCCTCAAGGTATAATTCTGTAAATAAAACTATGATCTAAGTATGACCACCTATCCTCAAGGTATAATTCTGTAAAAAATATGATCTAAGTATGACCACCTGTCCTCAAGGTATAATTCTGTGACCACCTATCCTCAAGGTATAATTCTGTAAAAAATATGATCTAAGTATGCATCCCATCTTCATACCGATACGTAGTAGATGCATCCAAAGTGCCTCCTCCTGTCGGAAAGAACTTCATCCTCCACACGCTTCCACTTGGATTCGAGATGGCGGTCGCAATGTCAAATATCGAAACTAGCACCTCCGTTCCAGCATTCGTGACACGATACAACTGAGCCAATGCTCCTGGGGCTGCAGCATATATTCGCTCACTCTGATCTTAGAGTTTCAATCGCGATCTTCACTATAGTACTCACCTTATCTAGTGTGTGATGTAGCCTACATCATCTTTGACTTCTTCTCCTTTGAAAGCATGTCAAGAAGAGTGCTTTTCTTCAAGATGACTTTTCGTCCCTTGAAAGGAGCATGTCGAGAAAAATGCCTCTACATCTCCTCAAAAAAGGCATGTCGAGAAAAATGCCTCTACATCTCCTCAAGATGTAATAGCAGTACTAGTACTAGAAGTAGTTTACCCATTCTAGGGGCAAGTAATTCAGAAAAGGGGGAACGAAAGGGGGGTCGTGAGGGGTTAACGTTCAAGTTTACATACAATGCTTCCAGAAAGCCTTAACAATCTATTCTAACCTCTACACCGGTTCTTGCGAGCGGTGAACTTCCAGACTGCGGAGAAACTATGGTAGCCACAGGTGGCTGATTCACAGGCGCAGGCGTTGGGCTCGGCGAAGGTGTTGGTGAGGGGGTCGGAGACGGCGTCGGAGATGGGGAAGGGACTGTTGTGATGAAGGGGTTTATTTGGATTCAAATGTGCTGGTGAGGAGTGATCTCTCCATCGAGGTGATGATAGAAGCTGTTGTATGAGTAGCTGAATGAATGTACCCACTCCAGGGGTATAAGAGAAGACTACTCACTACTTCCGTCTACTTACCACTCCTACTGTAGAACCCTCTACTATTACGGCTCTATCCTCATACGAATGTGACATCGTGAGGTCGAATCAGCTACTTACTTACGTCCTCTTCGTCTACCTGGCACTCCACCACCCACCACGAATTGCGTCGCCGTTTTATCCGCATCACCCGTAAATGTCGCATGCACGACCCAGTTGCCGTTATCAGCATATCGGAGTTCGTAGCCTGATGGACAGTTCGGCGTGATGACCTGACCCGTTCCAGTATCCACGCACATGCCACCATCGTTTAGCTTGACGCAGTTAATCTGCGTTGCCGTGGACAGCTCGAAGTGCACGTAGACTTCGCCGGGACCGGTAAAAGGCCCTTTCACCGTCGCCGTCTGTGACTCAGTCGGGTCTTGCGACCCGCCGCCGTTCCAGTCTACACCGGTTAGCACGTTGTTTGGCTGGAGGACCTCGTATACGCTTCCGGAACATGATGAATCCCCGAACATATGGGTTGTGCACAGGTTCCAACCTGGCGTGGTGCCGGGCGCAGTACACACGAAGCGCCACAATCGGGCTGCGGTGGCGTGGACGAAGAGGAACTCGGATTCTGATTGTGGGGTGAGCAGCTGGTACGCAATTGTGAAAAGCAGTACCAGTCGGGCACAAACATGTTTGCATGTGGTGCGCTTCGACAAGTACATGGCTCCGCTAGTCGGCGATGACGCAAGATCTACGATGGGGGCCTATCACATGGATGCATGAAAGACGTGTTGCGTTATGAAAAGTCAGAAATGGCAATCGTTGAAATAACGACGCGTGATCCTAAAACTCGAACTGCCAACCACCGCACGACAAGGGGTTTCAACGCAAGAGAGAAAACGAATTCTAACACTTGGACTAAGCATGAACATCAACATCTACGTGCTTGGAAAACACAAGTAGAAAGGCGATAGACGCCGAAATGAGACGAAAAATCAACAAGTTTGAGGGGGTGGTGCGAAAATCCTCTCAATCGCACCGAAGGGAAACATCGACGCATGGGACATGAAGATGTGCCTGGATTTCACTTGCTCATCAACAGATTCCGTTCTGAGAGGCACGTTGCATGCAAGGACAGACACTGGCAAGAGACGTGTAGAAGAGACATAACGGGAACAGAGAGGACGCTTCTCATAACATGAGAAAAACCCGATCTGCCTGTGTGGGAACACCATAATTCGTTCATACCGCTCGGGATTACAACCTCTGCCTTACTTCCCCTCAGGCACTCAGAACATTTAACTAACATCTTCCAGCCCGATATTGCAAACCATTTATTGGGAACACTTGCGGTTACTTTAAGAATCTCTGAAAAAACGGTCATCCGACCCACCTCCGTATCTGTACATTTTGCGAAAGGCAAGCACCTTCCTGTGCAGCCGAACAGCCGTGGCACTATTCATTTCGATGCTATGGCACTATTCATTTCGATTCTACGAGCACATTCCTGCCAAAACAACGTCAGTCTTCGATCTCCTAGCATTCATGTCATCTTTTCTAAATAATCTAAAAATCCTAAATCCCAAACCTCGACTTACAAACAACATCTTACTCCGAGCGTGGTGTATAAGAACGGAAAAAAACTAAAAACTTTAGAAATAGAAACTGAACTAGACTTACTTACAAAAACGAATTAGAATGCGTCTGAAACTGAAACTTGTGGACAGAGAATGACTAGGATAGAAGACTACACCACTGACAAGTAATCTTTCACTACAAAAATCAAACATACAACGTCGAATTTCGTTTCATTTCCAAGGCCTTCATTCCAAGCTGCTACAGGTATGCAGTACAAGCCTTCTCCACACAGCAACCCACTCTGAAATCTGGATAAATTAATCGTCTAATATTCCTTGAAGCCTCCGACGTCCTGGCATCCGTCATCAATCAGCTCCACCGTTTGACCTGTACGTTAGATGTAATATCGTGAAAAAATGGGTCCTTCTTTAATCTAAAAAGGATCTACTTTAGATTTTTTAGATTTGTTTAGAAAACCAAAAGTCAAGACACTAAACTGATAGAGAATCAAAATAATTCGTGGGAGTTGTATTTCAAAAGAACTTCAATATTAGTGTTAAGTGTAAGTACACAGCACTTCCTTTCCGCCCATTTTGTACAGCAGTGCCATCACTTCGTTGTAGCTTCCCGGCACTGGCTCTCCCTCTGCGTCGTTTCTTAGAGAAAGAGACTCCTACTCCCTAATTGTGGCGGAGCCGACCTAACTAGAAAAAAGACAGACCAGAGATAGATAGAATTCCTAATTCATTTTTTAGAACGAAGAACTCCCTACAGATGAGTCATAAAAAGTGTTACAACAGCTACTTGTTGGCAAACCTGATCTTATTCCTGTTAGTCCTTAACTTCTGGTTCAGGAAGTTCTTGATAAGGTACATTTGGAGCTTCTTTGGCATCGACGTGAACATTTTGTTAAACGCCACTGCGGGATCCTTGCACTGCTCTTGGAAGGCGCGTCGCGCCTTGGTTCCCGTGTTCAGCGGTGCAATATCGCCGCATCCACTGGAGCGCATGTATCCGTACCAGCACTCCAGAGGCTCTTTGAAGACGGTGGATAGCTGATTGCGGACACCTACAGGTGAAAAAAAATTGGCGAAGTTTGTTGTCAAGAATTCATTTTTTCCATGGTTTTGCCCTGATCTCCGACAATATAATCGTCCTGGTCCTGCACTAACTTCATGTATTCGCTCATCCACATTTAATACAACTTGATGCTGTTTTAGCTCCCTACTTCACTTCGAGTAGTTGCGATTGTTGTAGTAGTTCCATGATCATTTAGAAGTATTTGTTTCTAGCTACCTTCATGCTGGAACGCGGTATGCATTTGGTTCAAGTAGGCCTTCTGCGCATCGGGAATGGTGTTGACTTTGCAGACACCTGGAAAGGAGTCGCCATCTCCGAAGCCGAAGTCTTGCCTAGATCGCATCCGCAGACCACTAGTGGCCACAACCAACGCTCCAGCAGCAACTAATGACTTCATTTTTGTCGTCCTCTGTCTCGTGGATACTTAAGTTACAGGAAAAGGCGGGGGTTAAAAGAGAAGTAGAGGATGAGGAGTCGAACAAAAAGTGGTACTAGTTGCTTCTCCTCGGCTAAGTAGAAATCTACTTTCTGAAGTCGTTTCGAATGGATCTATGGGACGAATGCGCCGTTTCATCAGGTTTATGTGTGTTGTTGTAGATCGCGGAGAGATCATGTGATGTGCCTCTGTTGGAATTTGATCAAGTGCGGGGGCGAAAGAACAAATATACCACCGCCTGAGTTATCTCATCAGCTTCATAGCATTAGGAGAAACCAAGCTTGGCGAGCTTGGTTTGCCTTCAAGAATATTTCTTTCAACAAAAACTGTGTACATTTTCGTGCATCATAAATAAATTCCCTGGCTTGTGCCGTAGAGACTACTTTGATCTCCTCGACTGCCATGTAGTTGTGGCCTTGCCCAAGTAAGTAACTTTCGCCTTTGAATATTCGATCAACAACTTTTTACTCGCTTTCATCTGAATCTGATGCTGGGTAATGAATTTAAACGAAAACCTCTTGCAAGTAAACAATTTAACGATCCGATATCCGATTCTGAAAATAAACCTATCGGAGGGATGCGCACGTACTGTGACTGGTGCTCTGTGTATACCATCCTTGCTCACTGCGTTGATGACTATCAACTACCTTTGTTCAATGAGCCCAAAATGACTGTGCGTGTCGACTAAACATACGGATTATCCTGTAAATTCCTATACCTCATGATCAGTGCGCAGACAATTTCTTCAAATATGACAGACTGTAGATGAAGTCAAAAATGTATAGAAATGTGGCGCATAAATGTGGTGATATGAACAGCTCAAACTTTTTTGCGAATTCAAACGTATGTACATGAAAAAATGTCGATTGATACACAGCGAGTACTCCCGTTTCCGCTGTTCTTCTATCCAATGCTCTCGCCTATCGCATGATCTTCCTGCTCCGCACCATTTACAACTATTAATTTGTCTCCCTTCTTCTACACCTTCTTTTCCACACACATTCATCCTCTTTTGACCACTCACGCGAAAAGAACCCACACGACCGACCCCTGTTCTTTCCGCTTCTACTACTAATCCATAAACGCCTACGCTGCAACTGCGCTGGCCGACCGGAAATCTGGCCACTCCATGTAGATAATGCGGTCTAGTCTCTGCGGATCCTTCGCATGGGCAAAGAACACTAGTGCGGCCTGTATTAGAGATGGTCCAGCGAGGATACGGACCGTGTTAATGTGTGAAAATATAAATAGGTATCGGATGAACTGTAAAAAGTTCTGCCTGTTGTACATCTACAACTAGATAGATGTTTCTCCTTCAATAAAAATTATCAACCTCATAAAATCAGCAGACACAATCCTCCTCCCGCTACTGTGATCGCTGCTACTACAAGGCTGTCACTGCCACCAGCCCATGAGCCGCTTTGTATAAACACCTTCTTCTTGATGTCATGCCCGACTCCAGCGTGCTGAGAAAAATGGAGAATGTACTTGTATGAATGTATGTATGTATGTGTGTATGTAATGATGTGCCCAACTAGAGGTATTGCTGCAGTTGATACAATGATATATATCATCCCGCTCCCACTCGTCGTCGTGATTTTTTGACAACGACGAGAACGGTTTGTGGAACTCGTGAGCTTTGCCCTTTCTTACTTTGTTGTGTTCTTCGTGCTTGTGGTTTAGCTTACTTCAAACTCAAAGCAGCAACTTCAAACTCTATTTGTACCTTCGTCAAATCCAGTCGATGTGCGTAGAATAGCTTGTAGGTGCTCCCCTTTGACAACTTTGTTCCCTCTGGAATTTTTGCAAAAAGCTTACGAATGTCGTGGTAACTCGAAAGCCTTTTCATGTGTGATCAAGGTGGGTAGAATGAATGAATGAATGAATTCGCCTAACTTGCTTGGTACTATTACTGTTCGTCTTGACCTGCTTCACCTGTTTCAATATCGTCTAACACGACGTAGACATCAAAAGTAAGTCAATGAATCTACTGAAAAATAAAGCTGGATAACGATAGTCTTCCAGAATGAACATTACCTCTGGAAATTGAGCCACTGTGAGTTTTCGATTCCCCATCCAGAAGGATTTGCCGCTTTTGCGCCACACGTGATTGCAGAACCAGACAACGGATTCGTCACACTCGCTGTCATATTGTAATTGCATGTGGCTGCATTCGCGCTGGAGTCGAACTGCAATTGGTGAAGGTGAAGAGTTGTCATTTATGTCGCCTCTTGGAAGGTACAAGAAGCATGATTGCACGACTAGCATTATGTGTTGATGCAAAATCTTTACACCAGCACCAGCCATCTACTTCGGTTCAAGGTTCAAGGTCCGCGGCTCTGCGGCCAGGCCGCGTTGTCCGAGGAATCTACTTACTTATGATCAAAAAACACAGTACACTGAATCCTCGATAGTTTGTGCAATCCGCAGTCGACCCGTCAGCGAGTGTTTGGACCGGTTGTAAGCGTAGCGGATCGTCCACACAAACTTGCGGTGGAAAGACCTTCAGCAGGTGCATATTCAGAATTTCGTAGTACTTCTTGCCTTCCAATTGTGCCGAATCTTCATCCTCGAAAAGGTTGCGGTCTTTTTCGAAGGTGGCTGTTGCGATTAGTTGGAAAGAGATGGAATATGCAGCGGCTGCTGTCAAGCTGTTGCGATTTAATCGCAGTAGTGGGGATAAAGTCTTGTCTCCTGCAAAAAATTAACTGAAGATCTGTTCCACCACTTCTATAGACGATACAAAAAAGGTGCTGATGTAGGCGATTCATGTTAGTATTACCTTCTGGATCCAGGTTCCTCTTCGAAAACTCCCAATCTGCGTCGAAGGAAACTTCTTCTGGCCTCGTCACTTGAGGCAACGCCGTGTTGGAGGAATCTGTCAAAACCATGCTGTCCAAGCCACCATCCCCAACCAACCTTGCACCCAAACCACAAGGATAATGGACCTTGTTATCGGCTGCTGTCGGTGGGAAAGTGCCGAGCGGTCCGGCTTTACAGACTTCGGAATCGTTACTGTGTGTCGATCAGGTGTCGTGAGTGTGGGAATTACGAGACTTCTTAGCTAGTGCGGACTATTTTGCTTGGTGCTCAGACAATGAGAAATATGTCCTCAAGATCTCTTCCCCTTTAGAAGGTGAACTACGATCTCCAAGGAAACATCAGTACTCTCCATTCTCCAAGCACTCTTGACTCCTTGTCGACCACCAGAGGTAGCATCCTGTTCTGGCATTCATCATCTGCTTCGGATACCACAACTGATAGACCGCAGTCTCCCAACTTTCGCCATGAGCCGGGAAAAAATCTTTCATACTCTCTGGCTTGCAACCGGTTCGACCTGTTAGGTTAGGTTTCGGATGCAGTGCATGTGGACAAGGCTACACAGCGGCTGCACCATACGAAGCAATAGTAAGACTATCAGGAAGACACACAATCCTCTATTCAACTTGGATAGAACAACTATTTCTTCGAGGCTGTGTCGACCTGTTGATGGGTGATATTCATGTATCACACTATCTTTGGATGAGTGTCGTGTTTTGATGCCTTGATCTTTCCCTGTGACACAAACGACGAACCAACTATGCATTTTTTATGCTCCACCAGATCAACGCTTTTTATAGTACACCAAAAAAAAGCTGACGACCTTCCTATTCCATCGGTCAGAAATGTACCTTCCTGATACGGCATACAGGATCCAGCTCTTACTTGTTTCGCAGACATCGCGTTTTCGAATCCACGAATGAGATTTCTGTGCGTCTGATAGAAACCGTCCATGCCGTAGTAGAGGTACACAGGACCCTCCAAGTCCTCTTCAGGCGTGAAACTGAGTGTTTCTACCATACCTGCCGTGCCAGTTCCAATCATAGTGCATGCACGAGTGACGGAACCAGAGATGCCAGTGTCGTCATTGCCCGTCGCTGCAGTGCAAGACATCGTCTGTGACTTCAGTTCGAGGATGACCTCTTTCACCGTTGATGTCCCATCCAAATAAGCAGCTCCCAGCGAAAGCAAAACGACTGCGTAGGAAGCGAAAATGATGAATATTAGAAGCGGATTCGAGCAGCTCCATGATGATGATCTGCATTCGCATTGGTCCGCATTTGAATCGAATCTATCTACACTGATTACAAAACCATCACCATAACATAAACAGCTTCGGCGTACACGCTGGTCTCCACAAAATCGCCTTCTGCTCATCTTCGACAATGATTGCACCTTTATCGGGTGGCGCGGCTTTCGACGAAGCCAAAGCTCCAATTTTTAGACCTGACAGAAATGTTAAGTTTGGAAAAGTTGTCCTAGATGTCCCAATTTGATGTCCTCGGACCAGTTCATCATCATCTTGAAATGCACCATTTCCTGGAAATTCTCTATTTCCTTGCATGTAGTGAAAAGAAACGGTCTCATGATCAGGATGCTTCCGAAAAGATGCTTCCGAAGAGGGAGCCTTAATCTATCTCCTTGAGAGGAGCCCTGCTGGAGAGCTGCTTTCACATCGACTTGGCTGTCCATTGCGCTGCGAGAATCCGTAGTAGGGGAATAAGCAGGAATCACACCAGCTGCAGAGTGGTCTCCCTCTCTTTGCCGGTCTCGTTCGTTAGAAAAGGATTTTTAGACCTCCACCAAGCGCAAGCGCTCTTTTACAACATCCCTAGTATGGTGCTTATGCTGCAGCTTACATCCACTCCTTCTAGCCCTACAACTGAACATCCTCCACCTCCTGTGGAAAAGTAGCTACCTCCAGGTCTAGAACTTATTATAGAGACAAAGCATAATGGTCACCACAGACGCACTGGTCGAAAAAGAGGAACTTGAGGACTTGGAGGAGGTTTCGTGGTAGGAGACTAATTCAATCTCATCATCTTGCGGAGCAGTGACCTGGCGTGCTGATGGTCTTGTAGTCATTGTAGTTGTATTGAAAAGGCAGCATGAAGTTCGCAACTGTGAGGACGTAGTGATGAATATTACTTTTTCATAGTAGGTACTTATGATTTTTGAATCGAATGAAGATGGAAAATTGTAATTACGCTACTTAGTACAACTTCTAGCTGTTTTTAGGCTGACACACTAGTATTGCCAGGGGGCCTTTATCTACACTTTATTCATTCAAAAACGTTATCAACTTCTTGTCGCAGGGAACATGTTCCGGGTGAATATATATCTCTACAACTCTGGCTATCGGCATTTCATGATGGGGTTACCAACACAGGTAACAAATACTTAAGAGAGTGGGTTTCTTTTCATCCCTCGGTAGTTCTGCGCTCGCGCTTATACGCTGACTCACTGCTCCATACCAATGAATATATCATGCCTCGGAAAAAAACCACTGAACAAAAAGAGGATTCGTTGCTAGTACGTTGCGCTCTATCTTCTTCAGACCGATACACAGATTGACATTGACAGCATGATCAAATGAAACTTTCTGGAGGTCATAACGACAGAAGTGCAAGCATATTAGCTTACATTAACACCGCCAAGAAAAAAAGTTTTCCTTCCCGATGGTTTTTTCTTATAATATATTCTTGCCCATATTTTGTTTGCGTAAAAAAATTCATGATTCGGTATTTGAAAAAGTTATGAAATCCTCCCTGTCGTGCTGCATCCACGCAATCCAGAAAAGGAATACATATCTCTGAGTGCTGTATGGTCTTGTTTCGGAATGGGTCCTCATCTAGGTACTTAGTATGTAATGCATTCAGAAGCAGTTGTCCTGAGAAAAAAGAAGAGTTCTTCGTTGAGTTCAGAAGACCCTGATTATCTCCCCCAAAAGCCTGCCAGGCTATGTTTTCGTAGGTCTCACATTCAGCATTGTTCCTGCTATTCCTGTCTCTGCTACGGTCGCATTCATAGAAAACCCTGACCGCAAGGATTTGACAGGAAAGGCCGTGAACAGATCGATGTCTTCGATGCCGGTCACGCATAGGTGTGCCGCGGTCTGAAATACTCGGGATAAAGGGTGGGTGGGGAGGACCTGAACAGGTACGGAAAAAGGAATGAAGATGTACAAATGTATGAGTTTGTGAAAAGAATCGCAATCGACATTGTGGCGTGCGTTTTTAATAATCTCGTTGGCCTTAGAATTCAAGAAACTATTTCACTGCAAAGAAAGAAACTGACTGTATCTGTGCAGAGGAGTACTGCGCTCCACCGTGCGTTTTTAATAAATTTGAATATTATCGTCTACTGGGATAAGCAGAAAATGAAGAAGAGATGATGCGGTACCTTTATCGGATTTGATCTTCTTCCATCGAGCAACCTCAACGTGAGTTTTACTGGATTCTCGCTATCCGCCGGCTCCTCTGGTAATGGGGGTACGTCTTCATGCTTAGCTTTCTTCGCTGCTGGATCGTCTCCTACAACTTCCACAACAGTACCAGTCGTGCTGGCATCAGAAATACCGCCTTGTCCACCTGCTACAAGAGCACTTGAGTCACCTCCTGTTGTGAGAGCGCCTGATGCACTACTAGATGAAGATGATGAAGAAAGTGTGCCACCAGATGATGAGGATATCGCGATAGGAGGACCTCCGCTACCTGGTGGATTGCCGGTTGATGCGGAGGAGCCAGATACTGGACCGTTTGCGAAGGCCGCAGGCGGTGGAGGAGGTCGTTGGCCGCTGGTTTTAGAGCAGAGAAAAATGAAGCATCGTCTGAATCCTTTAAGGTGAAGCTAAAGAACTACAAATCTTCGCTATTGTTGATTTTCTACGTACCACGACCACGTCTAAAATGGAAACCATTTTCACCATCTACATCTTCTAGTTCTACTTCTAGATCTCAACAAATAATTCAAACAAAAACCCCTCCCATAACACTAAGACTGTGCTTATCCGCGAAACCGGTCAGCATTTCAACGGCTACAGTGCTGTCGCTCCATTTCTTCCCGTCCCAGCTTTTTACACTTCTCTTCGTTCGCGGATCAATGAAGCAGATATGCGGAAAACTTGTAATCTTGTAGTAACTGCGATGGGCGAGATTGTGTTGAGCATGTTGACGAATTATAAAACAAGAATCGGAGATAGCAAAAATTTCTTCTTATAATAAAGAGACATCTTCAAAAATTTCCCCATAGAAGTGGATTCGAATCATGTAGGAACTACCTCGCAAACATCTTCCCTTGGTCGCTAACATTGTCTTTTTGCCAGAAAACAAAGTTCTGCGACACAAGATCCTGCACCAGCTCGTTGTTCCAGATGTCTCGGTTCAGCTGCCATGAAGCAAATTCGTCCTTACTCTGCAAGTTCACAAGAAGAAACTTCTCCTCGTTCATGGCTCGATTAATGGCGTCGGCAAAGGAACCGATCTGTTGGGGATGAGCCGGTTAGTCGTGGGAAAGATTAGGATCAGTAGAAGCTATACGGGGGGAAATCAGATTCTTGTGGTCCAAGCAAAATGAGAAATGCCATGAGTACAATGTTGGAACTGAAACATACTTTTAGTACCAGCGTCCACGACCCTTCAACAAAATCTAGCATGTACCTCCGAATAGCTCGGAGTCGCGAATATCTTATTCAGATAAGCAGCTGAGGCGTGTTCCTTAGCCTTCGCGCCACCACCAGTCTTACTTTTGTCGTTGCTACTGCTACTTGTTCCCTCTTGTTGCGCGAAAGTCATTCGCTGAAGCATGTCCTTATGGTCTTTTTCTAACCGCTCTTGGTGAGCCCTGTGTGATACGAGATGGTTGGGCGAAGTCAGGGAATTTAGCTTGAACATTGTCTGTGAGAGCAGGCTGTTGCTTTTCAAGTGAAACAAGTAGAGATCATCAGCACCCAGACCCATCTATAATTTCCATAGTCCTCCTCGGATCACTCACAAAGTCAAAAATTTTGTTATACAAGGTCACAAAGTAGTAGGTCAAAAATTCCAATTATACTTTGCTTCCGCATCCCTGCTTCTTCCCCCCGGTGCGCTTCCGATAATTTGGTCCTGATACGCAGCGATCGGAGCTCGGACATCATCGTCTTCTGGCGGGATCACGGGAAAATCACCGCCAAAGTCGCCGCCTGTGCCTGGCGGCGGGCCTCCCGTTCCACCTCCTCCAGCTCCAGCATTGCCACCAGAGTCGAAAAACAACGTCACTGCCGTCTCCAGGTTGGCGTTTGACATTTCCAGATAGCTCTTAGCCTGTTCATGCTCGTTGAGGCCAGTAATGCTCATGAACTGAGCGATCTGGTCGTCGGTTGGAGCAGTCATTTTGTTTTTTAGTTTCGGGGAAGAACTTCTACAAACAATTCTGGTAAAAACTATAATATGCAAGAAGAAACTGCAGAGAAACAAAGTGAAGATGACTCTTATGGTTGTCGTATTGCTCCTATCGGAGATGGTGATTTCAAAACGTCCACAATCGCAAATTTGCTTTCGTCTTTGAGATTGAACTGAATTATATTTATGAGAACTCGCCGAATAGATTCAAATCATCATCATATGAGAGCGCATGCGATCGTCGTCCACCTCCTAGTCAATATTATCTTTACGTGGTAACACACGACCATGTGCGACAATATTCCGCATTTTTTGCGTCAAGCAATGCCAAGTTTCAAATTGTAAATTCATGAACGCCTAGTTTCAAAAAAAGCCAGCCACGGTCATTTTTTCGTATCCGTGTAGACACGTAGAACGGTTTTCAGAAAGAGACAATCAGATCACTCAGTCAGGAAAATGCAAGAAACGCAAATAACAATCCAGGCTGGCGGCTGGATCCAAAACAAAAAATAATCAACTACGAGTACAATCTCGAGTACAAAAGAAACAAAAAGCACGTTAATTTTCTTCGTTAGCTTATCATAAGGCTGACTAGAGACGGACTGGATTGCAACTACGAGACAATCTCGAGCACGTTAATTTTCTTGTTCCTTAGCTTACTAGAGAAGGACTGGATTAGAAGATCCGTTACTATGATCCAGTCCGTCTCTTGTTCTTAGGCGGACTAGAGACGGACTGGATTATAATATAAGAATGACAATGAGTGATGTGAAGCATCATGATATAGGTAATTGCAAAAAGACTTGCAGATTGCTCACTGGTAGTATGTTTTTGAGAGGGATTACTTCTCTGCTAACTTGTTCCTTGTATATAAAAGAGGCTGTGCTAAAGAAAACGAATCGTACCAAAGAACAATACGTTTTGATAAAAATCGAACTTTTCTTCATAACTTATTTGACTTACCTACGATTGAGTAGGCTGAAAATCCTCTACACAACAATTCTGCTAGACAACTCCTTCAACACAGTCTAGTCTATATGCGGAATCGTATTCAGCTCCAAGGATTCCAGCTCAGGCATTTGATTTAACAGGCTCTGCACGCTCAAAAATCTGGGACCACCTCTGCCAGCGGTTTGATCTCCGTTATTATATCTTCCGCACTCTGAATCGGACAGCCGGACACTGTTGATGTGCAGTTCTCTCAGTCGGCGTAGACCACCAAGGCCTTGAAAGAAATTCCTTGTTGACTTGGAGTTCATCCGGAAATCCAAGTCAAGTTTCCGCAGACTTTCGGGTAGGAAGGAGAAGTTGAAGATTGGACCATGTCCACTGTGATGTTAGAGCTACCCTGAGTTGATTCTTGGCTTCTTTTTCGAGTAGAGAAGGTGCCAGGGATGATAATTGTGCTTTGAATGCAGCTTTAGCGATACAACTAGCCTCCTTAATTATGTTGTTCAGGATCTTCGATACTATCCTTAATTGTGTTGTTCAGGGTCTCCGTCTTGATCGAAAGCGTCTCCCTCAGAAGATTCGCCACCTCCATTTCCATTGTTAAAAGCGCCGCAAGGTTCTTTCTCCTCTTGTTCTTCTTCTATGTAGGAAAATCTACCGCCATCTGTAGGTGCTGGAAGCTCTAGCGTGGAAGCAAGACCAGCTACACGATTTGCATTTTGACCTTGTTCTGTAACTCCACCTGCTCCACTACAAGACCCTCCTCCAGAAATGTACGTGATAGATAATGAGCGAAGATGTAGTAAAGTCGTTTTTGTTGTCGAGGGACTGGGATTTGTTGTGCTTGAACCCGGAAGATCCCCATCTGCAGTTTTACTAGTACTGCTCCGCTCCCTTCCAGCGCGCAACAGAAAAGCATTGACATAGGCGAAACCATCAGGGAACTCGAGTTTTACATTTCTCAAAACTGGGAGCCTGGCGAATGCGAAAGCTCGACCCAGCTGCACCACAGAAGTCGGGTTACCGCATATGCCACCATAGGGTCTCACGCTCGTCACTTCCAAGGTCCGTAGAGAAGTCCATGACTTTTAGAGATAGAGAAGAAGACATGACTCCTCAACTTAAGATTCTCAACTGAGATGCAACAAATTCAAGAATCAATCATCTAAAAAGACACGAGCACGACACCCATTCTCATTCTTAATCACTAACTTGTCGCACTCCCGCCTCCAAAATGCCCTTATTTTTGCCTCCTGCTGCGCATTGTTCTTGTGCTTGACTACCAGATTCATCTTCATGTACTAGGTGCTCTCCTAGAGTCCATATTTGTGTCAAAACCAATTCTTCAAGGCGATCCGATCCTGCCAGCAGTGCTGCAAAACCTCTTGAGAGGTCGCGGGTCGACCGTTTCTTATCTAGACGTAGTTGTAAATAAGCGTCTGCCACCGCTTGCGTCTGTACGAGTCGTGGTACTGAATTAGATTGTTCTTCTGCAGTAGAATGCCCACGCGGACTGCAGATCACGCCAACACTGTGCAAATGCAGCGATTCAAGTACAGGGAAATGGTTGTAAACGTCTCCTTCACGACCGTGCTGGGAGGTTCTCCGTACTGTAGGGTCATGGATGTTCTCGTCAACACTGCTTCCACCACTCAGAAATATTGTTCCCTGGCTAACATCTGTGTTACCACTAGCACCAGCACCATCCCCTTTACTGACCTCCTTCTGCGGTAAATGCACTTGACAGTTCTCAATGTGCAAATGTTTCAGACTTGGTAACCTTTGTGCTAGCAAGTTGAGGTCTAAGTCCGCTTTTCGTGGGTCCTCAGTCCACGTACCGCATATGACTTGCAATGTTGTCAAATGTTGCGGCAGACGAGCTAGCAGACTGTTCAGAGAAGATGGGAAATCAGACGAGTCAGTAGTTGATGTTCTCGAAGTAATCGTAGTTGTAGCACTACATTGATTATCGTTAGCTTTGCTTCTTCTAGTTTCTTCTGCTTCTTTTCCTGTTGTTGAGGAAGTTTCGTCTACTGCTTCGGCATGAAACTCGTCAAGATCTCTGCTGAGTTGTTTGATTTTTGCCATCCGCAAAAGGTCATATTCTATCCGTAGCCCACCGTTGGCGCCCCTCAACATAGAACGTATTTGAGAGTTCGTGTTGGACAGAATCGGGCTCGCTGCGGGCACGAGACGGGCTAAGTTTGTGGATTGATGTAAGCGTGTTGTACCACGACCGGAGGTTCTGGTGATCCCTCTGGTGTCCTGTCGGCTGTCTCCAGCGCCAGAAGAGGAGTATGAAAACCAGCCTCTAAAAAACTCGTCGTCCGAGTCACTGCCTGAACTGCAGGGTGAGGTACTAGAGAGGCTCGGAGAGGTGCCCGACAAGCCGCTAGAAGAAGGTTGTGATGTAACAACAAGTCTAGCGTCTTGATGTTCTCGTGACAGCGAGGAAGCTCTAGTTACTGTACTAGACCGGCCTCCATGATGGTGCAACAAAAACGGTAAAATATCCGCAAAATCTGGACTAGTATTTATTGCGCTGCTTAGGTGGACTGCTTTCGGCGAAGTCAAAAAAGCACTACACTGGAGAACAGGATCAGTAGAACCAGATGACAGTAGTGAGCGGGATGAGCATAGAGGAGAACAGTCGGCAACTTTCACTTCGACGAGGACGTAAAGCAAAAAGTAGAGCAAGACCACAGTGGTAGTTCTTGTTGATAGAGGCGCCGAGAGGACGAGGACGGTATTCATCTTTTCTTTCTAGGGATCATGTTGCAAGCAACAGGTCTACTAAAGCAGAAAAAGTAGAAAACAGGGTCTTAGTTTTTTGTGTCGGTGAGTTTCAGATGATCCTGATGCACTTAGTAGCATTCATGCATTCATTCATGTACTTAGAAGTAACATTTTTTTTTGGGACCTGGACCGATATTCCTCGCAATACGAACATGTAATTACCCTGCGGGAATCCTGAAGCACAACGGCCGCAAGATCTAAGAACTAAGGACACACTTCTACCCCGCGCGTTCCCTAGAAGACTAAGAACACATCAAACGATGTACACCGATCGAGGCAGAAGTGCCAAGAGCTGCAGCGCACAATGATCATGATCATGTACTTAGTGGCATGGTGCAGACAATTATGTATGTGTTCTTGTGCATCATCTTGATAAACTTTCAGAAACTACCATGTTGACGTTTCATCATACGCTGCTTATTGAAATAAAGGATTCATTTTCACAGACTAAGAAGGACTCTCAACATGATGAGAAACGATCTCATGAGTCTGTATCTTTGTGGATACTGTCGAGCAGATAAGGTTCTTGAATCAGACTAGCAATTAGTGGAGATCTTCAGGTGATTATTGAATGTCAATGTAGTAAAATTGCTTCGTAGTAGATGGAGCCAAACTATATTCGCAAACAACAGAAGAATCTTCTTTCTTAGGGTGAACTCGAAATCTATCTTCATCTACACACGTTTTGTGCCCGAGACACAGAGGAAAATCACACATGTTCTTGTACAAGGAGAACCACTCTTCAAACAACAGTATTTTTAGCATTTTTACTTTAAGATATTACATACAGGGTCTGAGTGCAAAGACGAACAAAATCATGAAAGTTTTTTTTTGAGTTATACTACTCGTCCACATGGTGCATTTGCATAATCGATTTGCAAATTAGTCGGCCACGACACGATGGATGAGGATCCAACGTGTCCGGGACAAAGTAGCCACCACACGTCTGACAAAGTAGCCACAAGGCCTTCAGTACGTAGTGTGTGTCAACACTTCCGCAAAAACAATTGTTAACACTCAGCAACAACTACGCGACGGCTTCTTTCGAGGTGTCCCATCGTGATTTCCCGTGGCCCCTTTATAGAGCGCACTAGCGATCGTTGGAAGCGCGTAGTATTTCATCGGAAGAGGCCTGCGCCAGCCTTCGACTTGAGATTAGCACAGAAAAGTTGATTGAATACTATTAACACGTCACTACGAATCAATACAATGAATATACGAAACAAAGCTAAACCCCCCGCCGTTTCCATAAGTGAACACCTGCCCCATTTTTCGTACGAAGTCGATGCAATTTCTGTCTGTTAAATGGTAGGACTTTTCTTCTCCGTCTATCTTGCGAATCGCCCAGGCCAACTCTTTTGATTAGAGCAATGCCTTTTGGAAGTAGACTCGCTGCAAGATGAACTACTTTCATAATCAACATCCTAGGATTGTATTGATCCCCCCACTTTGTTCACGAGGATGTAATGGACATTTTCATGTCATGTCATGTCATGGAACCTCTCGTGTTTCAAAGTAACTTATTGAAAGAGAAGTTATTTCAGTCTGCCTGTACCTTCTAAGAAGAGCAAGCAAACCGAGCGATATACTATCAAGTATCGTTGTTGCCATAATTCTTACTAACAAAAGCGTATCCCGAAAAGACGCTCTTGTGGAATCCGCCAGCATATCCAACCATGGCGATTTTCGGTTCTTCGATTGAGATACCTATCCCGAAATCGTACTCATCGTATATGTGATACGCAAAGTCGATGATCGTGGCGACGGAGCTGGGGAATTAGAGGGACGAGGGATGCTGGGAAGCTGTTGCTGTTAGTAATAATGAGAAGAACTACGTGTTGAGGTGTAAGAAAACCCGGCTTCTTGTTCTTGTAACTACATTTTACTTCTGTGCAGTGAAAACAGCATAACCACCCACTCCTTCAGCAACGTGGTTTCGCATTCCACGTCCACGATCGACGCGTGGTGCCGAAATAACATTAGAGGTAGGTTTTTGGTGCTCGCTTACCCCGCTTGTTATGCCTTTCCCATCCTAAGGGAGAGAGGCATAAAAAGCGGTAAGAAAAGCACCTTTAACCTACCCTTAATAACACCGTGGTCGTGGAAGTCTCGTCTGTGTCTACGTTGACTCCCTGTGCTCTGAGCTCCTGAACTAAGAGCCACTAGTGGATCGGGAGGCGTCACCAGGTTGCCGCTACGGTTGTCTAGGACGAATAAAGGCGCGAGAGGCAAGTGGGGAGTGGGAAATTAGATTATGTTGAGAGGGAGGAGTGGGATGTGTAATATGGCAGATTGATGGAGTCAGGCTAAGGCCCGGGCTTGCTGTTATCAAAGGCGTACTTATGGAGAATATGGACTAGTAAGGAAAGAAGAAGTATTTTTAGGTCGTTCGATTTCGAAGTCGTGGTCACTTCATTTTCCATAGTAAGTAGGCACACCAAACTCAAACTCTTCAAGTGACCCTCTCTCATAATGCAAAGCAAACTGTCGATGTAGATTTCTTGCGCTTTTGTAGAAATCACGTCTCTCCGCCCAACCTCTTCGTCCAACCGTTTCTGGAGTTCCATTTTCGATGTCGTTAACATTTGACGATGTCATTTTTTGTTCCGGAGCATTGGTATCGATTCCTCTGGTTCGGATTTCAGCGTCGGTCTGATCCTCTTCTTCTCCTCTGTAACCCCATGGGACCGAGCGGACCTTTCAGGATTGGTGAAGGAGAAACTGTTCAATTGAAGAAGTGACAGCTGAGCACAATGGCTGAATCTGTGCGGGCAGCACTCTGCTCACGAGTCGTGAAAATAAAGATCTGAAGATGTTACTTAAGTACACGCTAAGAAACTCTAAAAATTCACAGTATATTACCCCTACTGAGATAGCCCGAATTAATACCTCCATCCCCGCATGATGTGCACCCAGTATCGGTACTACTTTGTTCCACGTGTCTGCCAGGTGATATAAGTTCGTCCTCAATATTTGTTGATGCCAGCTAAAGCTCGTCGCACGGACCCAGACAGTGACGTCGTCTTGCTGTTGCTCTTGGAGGCTCATAGCTATTGGTTGAGTGGAGCTATTGCTTGAGAGGAGATCGATGTCTCAGGCGGATATACCTCCTAGGTTGTTGATCAGCAAAAGAAAGAGCGACAAACACATCACGCAAGGGTGCCACATCTTCATCCTCCAGTAACATCACTAACCCAAAGACCATAAGAAAACCCTTCTGCCGCGACTTCTGGTTCCCACGACGGTGAAGCTAGTGGCCCAAGCATTTTATCCAATACGCGTTTTTTGAAGTTCATGAAGCCTCCAGACATGACCCGTGGGGCACGTGATATAGAAAGTACTTCTACATTCGTTGTCCTAGCACACGAACCTCCTCCGTTGGTATTAGAGCCAGCTAAGTACCTAGATCCATCTTCCAGAACAACTTCTTGCTCTTGGTTCAACCCGTTTTTGATTCAAAAACGGGACCAAGAATTTGTTCTGGAACTACTACAAGATGGATTAGCATTAGTGGCGGTCTTAAGAACATTTTCACCAGATGAACCACTGCCAAAAAACAATGGATCTGCGAACAGGAAGTTGCAAACACCTCCAGGCTGAGAACCGGTAGCGAAGGTTCTTCTGAGTTGGACAAAGACACTTTGTGGCTCGACCGGACAATGTCGATAATGCAATCGGGTACTGAAAGGACTGCCGTGGATTTTCTGTTAGAGGTAACTGCACTAGGCAGTGCTGTATCTATTCGAAAAACTGAAATAAGCGAGTAACTACTGAAAAAAAGCGAGATGTTCTCTGAACAAGGAAGAGTAGCCCTGTCAAAGCTATCTCCCTTCTTTCAGTCAGTAACTCGGTTATTTTCCGTTTTCGAGTACCTCTATTCGCACTGTGGATTTTGTGTCAGAGGTAAGACTAGGCAGTACTGTATCTACCTCTATTCGCACTGTGGATTTTGTGTCAAGACTAGGTAGGAGTAGCCACGAAATGAGATAGAATAAATGGAATAGATATCAAAAAACGATAGAGGCGAAGCGATTTGCAGTTGTTGTTTTAATTCTACTCTACTTAGTCTTGCTTCATCTTGTAAGCTGCCTTAATCATGCGAATCATCCTGCAAGAACGTGACTCCCGCAAAGAAATCCACGTGATCGAAGTTACTGCTGGCGTAGAAATCGAAAGCCTGCACAAATTCTGCCCACTTCAAGGCGTGTCCGTTTCTACGATCGAAAACTAGAATCGGTGTTCGTGCTGGTATCAAATTTTCACCTGTCGTCGTGTAAGCAGCATATTCGGACGTCGAGTCGGAGGAGCCGGGACCGCCGAGAGGGGTCCAGAAGACGGGGGGTTAGAGGGAGGAGAGCCGAAGTCGAGTGCTAAAAAATGTAGATACAGAAGTTCTGACTCTGAGTACTAGTACAGGTGATACTACGACGGTCTTGAAAAATCATTCATAAGTATTCGAACTCCCAGCACCACCACCACCACGCGGACCTACACTATGGTCTGGCAAAATAAGCCGATGTCTGGCCGCTTGCAACGTGTTCATTCGGTCGCTCCATGTGGACATTGACATGCTCTCTTGAACGCTAGGCATATAGGGGAGTTCATTTGCTGAGGGGATGTACCCGCCACGTGCTACTGCCTGTTCTAGCCAGGTGATGTCGTACATCACCACTGAGGGTATATGCGGTAATCCATTTTGAGGCTGTTGTGGAAACGTTTGCCCATTAGGGTCAGTCGCGACGTAGTCGCCTTCAGGACCATGCGGCCGACAACTAATGCAAGATTTCAGTCGGAGGCCGTGGGCAGGAGTAAGGCTAGAGAGGAAGAGAAAAGAAAGAGACAAGGAAAAAGAAAAACTTCGGTTACGAGGCAAGGAATGGAGCAAGCGGTGGCTGGTCCTCGTGGAAGTAGGAGTAGACGTCGTCATTCTCAGAATATAATCTCAACTACTTGACTCTTGACTTAGTGCTTTGATGTCTTAGTGCTTTGCAATCGTTTGATGTTATCCTAATTCTTCTCTGTTCAATTACTTCTTAGCGTCGAGCCACATTCTGCTAAAAAAAACCATCTATTTAATGTCAGCAGTGAGTTTTGGAGTAAAAAATTACAACGAGAGAGGTTATCTCCCTCCTTGTTTCTTTGTCCAGCAAGTCCAATAGGAGGGAATAGAAGAGCATGAAGAACAACTTTCTCCTGTATCTACCCCTGGAGAATTCTAATTCGAATAATTGAGCAAAGATTTAGTAAGTTCTAAGTAAATAGACGCACTACCAAACGGTTCACTGCTGTCTCACTATTATTGTTGCACGGGATAAGCCTACTAATGTGATCGAGGTGAAAACTAACCGGTTGCTTTACTTAGTGCTTTATTTCAAGACTTGTTTCATTCTTGTCTTATTACGTTCCAGCTTTTTTATGTTGCGATCCGTCGTGTTGTTTAATTTGTCTAGCATTTCATTGTGCCTAGAGAGTGTAGTTCCTATTGCTTGCGATTTCTCGCGCAAATTTCCTACTAAGCCTTCCACGGCCTTCAAATCGTCTTGTTCTTGAGCAAACGTACAAATTCTTGATGGTGGAAGTGGATCTATTATTGAAATTGACGAAGAAAATGAGACAGATGTAGTACACGTGCTGTCACCTCCTTTTTCTTTATTTTGGTGTCCACCGTGCTCGTGCTGTCTTCTATAATCCTTCTTTCCTATTATGCTTGTAAACGTATTCACATCTACAAGTCCTACACTCGAAAAGCCGTCGACTAATGTTGCCTTCTTATCCTTCTTTTCGTGCTGTTCTTGATCAAGCAAGCATTCTTGTTCCTTAGCATCCCTCTTTTCTTCGAGTTCGCCACCTTCTTCGCCATCGTTGTTGTTCCCTATCCCTAACGCCTTCAACTTTCTCACCTTCTCCTTAATCCTCTCTTTTGAAAAAACTCCTTTTGCCTTCCGGAAGAACGAGGACATCGACTTGAGCAGTTTCTCACTTTGGTCCAGATTGGCTCCCGTCTCTTCCGCAGCATTTTGGGTGCGCTGAATTTGCTCCGTCTGCCCATCCAACTTGAAGCAAGCCTTAGTGGCGACTTCATCCGTGGCTTTGAGCGTTTGTAAGGTGCGGCGCAGGCTTCTCTGGGTTTCGGTTTGGTAGTAGTCTGCGGTCTTCATGTTTACCGCATCCGCTTCATGTTCAATTAGAGCTGTTCGTAATTCATCTTTCAAGTGCATCCTTGAAAAATATGGGGGAGTCCTTTTGTTCCCTTAGGTGGATACAACTCCTCCATTTACGTTTATACATTTCATCAAGGATGCAGCGTCCAAAGATGAAGATGTATTAATATGTACAGGCTTAATTGAAGACATGGAGGCGGCAGCTGAGCCTGTTGTTGGCTCCTTGCCCTCAAAGGAGCTTTGGTACAGGAGGACGAAGACGAAGAGAACTGAGTTGTAGCCATTTTGATGTTCTTTCCTTTTGTTACACACAGAGAATTACTAGTAGAGGACGAACGGATGTTCTAGCTGCAATGAATTTCAGCGCAAATAAGGTGATGATGGCCCTCTCAGCGAAGGAAATTTTCATTTACAACTCTTCTGTGCCCGTGGCTGATCATGCAAGTCTTTGTGCGGTTGGGGTTGGCAATAGAGAGAAATGCACCATACTTCTTTGTGCGTTAGCGCTTTGTCGTCGAGAGAGAATTCCTTCTAACGTTGGTTGAGCGCTTTGTATTTGTAGTCGTCGAGAGAGAAAGAATGCTAACTACGGCTGAATCTGAAAGTGAAAGCCTAGGTGGAAACCGTAGTATCCAACTAGAAGGTAGTTAACTTTTTTATCATAAAACCAACGACGGTCGTGTGTGACAGTCAGCGATTCCCGGAAAAAAATTCGCACGGCGTCAGAGGTAAGTAGACTGCGTAAGTACTTGAATTTTTGTCTGTGGACTTGTCCGCTGCAACAAACTCGGAATAACGTTACTTCCTCGTCACTTCTCATCTACTTCATCTCTATGGTCGTCGTTGCGGTCGACTATGGTATGTCTAGCCTTCACAGTCACCGCCGCCATTTATGGCATGTCACTTCTCATCAGTTCTCATCTACTTCATCATCACTTCTGCTCATCTCCTTTATCTCCATTAGAAGCATAAGAGAAATCCATCTTGAGACGCATCCGAGGACCTTTTTCCCCTTGAAAACGGTCCCAGGATGCCTGTGAAGATGGATTTCTTCTAGCCTTAACTCCATCTAATCTACTTCATCTCCATCTGATCTACTTCATCTTCAACACCTTAAATTATGGCGAGAAGACATTATTCAACGTTCTTATCAGGTGTCTGAAGAGCAAGACCGCAGCTGGATTCATGTGGCATAGGACGACCACGAAAGACAATGACAATGTCAGATAGACGGGCAGAGGGTCACGAACTAAGTACTCCTCAGGGTCAATCAGGACAGCGAAAGCAACCCCAGGAACCACAAGAAAATAGCCCCATGGAGATTAGAGCATGGATGGATCAGGACAGATGGTGGTACTTAGTTAGTAAGTACTTAAATCACCCATGTTGTTAGAAGCAGAAGAGGCAAAAGAACAAGATACTAGTGACCACGAGTACTCAAGGTACTCCAATCGTTGAATTATGACTCCCATTCCTGGCATGCTGCGGAGAAAAAGAAAATAACAGCGTACTTGTTTTATCTTAGAAAGACACCACCAAGGACCATAAAGAGATATGCGCACAAAGAAGTCATTCTGTTGGGGAACGAGAAGTGCGCCTTCGTCATCCTGCATTTGTTCCTCATCTGCGTTATCGTGGACTTGTTCATCATCCTGCACTTGTTCATCATTAGCTGCTGCAACTGCATTCGCAGCTCGTCCACCCCTGCCATGTGCTTGCCCACCTCTTTCTTCTAACCCAGTTTCCGCTTCTGGTCTTCCAGGTTGCATCTTCCACAATAAAAACGGTTCTTCTAGTAGCAAGACGCTCAGCAAGCTGGTGTACGTAGGTGTTCTTGTCGAACGGGTCCTAGGTGCGGAACAAAGGTCAACACTTTCCTGAGTCTTGGACCTAGAGGCCCAATGGATTATTTGCTGGAGATTTTTTCATATCGGAGACCTGGATCTGCCAAGAGAGAACTGGCTACGAAGAAGGACGCGGTACGCTGTTCCTGTCACCGTGGCGTCGAGGTGGACGGAAATCTAGTATTTCATTCTTGGTGATGATATTATTCACTGCCCTTTCTCAGCAAGCAAACTCACCGCGTTTTTCTTACTTGGTTACGACACTAGCAAAATCCAAGCGCTGCAGTGTCTGCCTGTCTGTGACAGACACTAACACGACGAGACAATATTCGTTTGTCGAAAATTGTAGGCAACGCAAATCCGGAGTTTCTCTATGCTCAGTAGGCGTGGTTGTGCCTGGAGGAAAAGGAGCCCTTTCTCCTTATCATGTCGTTGCGTCGGCGGGTTCGTAGAGTCGTCTTTGCTATTGATCATAGTGAAAAGAGAAGCAGCTGGCAGCCCGCTTTTCCTGGCAGCTCATACATTGGGTTCATTTGAAACTTTCACTGAGTGCTTGTTGAGTCTTTCACAGAGAATATTTCTTGATCATCAAGTTTCTAACCGGATACAGCGAAAAGATCACTTTGCCTGACTCAGTCTGTCTCTCAATGTCTCCTCTTTATTGCTCTTTCTTCATTGTCCTAAACAAAATCACGGAAACACCGGAACACTTCAGCGAGCGTTGGGCGGTATGGAGGCGTTTAGGCTGCCTGGTGACGGACTCCAGAGCTAAGTACTTGGCAATAGCGTATTATCAAGAATCGCGTAGTTCCATGTTTAGCGCTCTTTCTTGCGTTCATCTTTCAAAAATCGCTAGAAATACTCCAAGCCAAAAACGTTCCGCCTTATGCATTCTAACAACGGCCAACCGAGCACGAAATGCGGCCCCAGTCGAAGATAGGTTGCTACAAAACCACGATAGAGCGCAAAAATTCCGTCTCTATTGATCGTCGCAAGTAGGCATTTCCGAGATCCTTTGAATTGGAATCCTTCCGATTCTTGCCCTACCATAAGTCCCACCGGTCTGTCGTTCATGACCCTCGTTTTCACAATGTCGACGGGGGCCGAAATGACACTCGAACAGAGACCGCTAATCGCGCCACAAATCGCAAACATCGCTGGACCCTGTTCCATCTGATACTCCTTTCGCAAATACTGCTTGCTGCGGTCTCAGGTTAGATAACCTAGAGGGGGTGCTGTCTTCCTGTCTTCTGCTCATCATCCGGGGACGTTTTCATTTTGTAGTCAGTCCCCTATGTATTCGTCATCGTCGCATCTCTAACGACCAACATACGGGTGTATCTCCGGAAACTGACTTCAATTCTATGTATCTCTTCTATCTAAAAATATGCCTGCGATGTTATCGGGGCTGTCTTAAGTATGACGTTATCTGCGCTGCCGTGACCAGTGCTGCCCTTACCATATTCGGAAAGACCCCTCGAAATAGATGCCGATCAGCTTGCAGACCTAGGAAGGCTTCCCACGTGTTCCGAAACTGTGGCTCAGATCCCTTGTAGAGGCCTGTGGCGTAAACAAGCTTATAATCCTTTCCACTCTGCAGAAAGAAGTTCAAGACGTCCTTTCTCTTTTGTCTCGCTATGAGGTACTCAAGAAAGGTTCGACGTGCGGAGGTGAGAACCTGGCGAGTCGTGGCCCTTGGGAGGTGTCTTCTTGTAGTCACGCTGCTGAAAAGGCTTGTTGTAGTAGGCGATGATATACAGCTTGATGCTGATGGTGCACCAGTACTGCTTCTATACACGGAAGGCATTGTGCTTCTTGATGAAGCACCACGACTGCACGATGAAAACCAGCGCAGATTGTACTTCTGTTTGCCACTTCCACTACTAGTACTTGACGCGGTTGATGTTGTAGAGGTGCCGGTCTGTGATGGTATAGAAGATGAAGAAGGACCGCTATGCATTGCTCCCGCTTCTGCCGTAGCCCCTTCTAAGTCGGCCAGTTCCCGGTTACTCGGTGGCACGTTGTAGGGGTAGTTCGGATACTGCCGCTGTAGCATCGCGTCTACCCTTTTTGCTTTCGCCACCGCCGCTGGAGGTAGGTTTTTCGCACGCCGTAAATGCGCGTCGCGTGTGACGAGCTGATCGTGCTCGACCGTTGTGCCGGTCCCTGGCTCCCAACGAGTCCTGCTTGCTTGCTCTGTCTGAGGCAGATCCTGCATTGATTGTGGATCTAAAGAAACGCGCTCCAATCTACCACCCTCAGCTTGAAAGCGCGTTTTTATCAGGTCAAAAGGATTCGCTACGAAGCTGCCAAATGTGCCTGTGAGCAAGCCTGCTGAAAATGACAAGGCTGCTGAGTCTGGTTCAGCCCACCGAAAATCCTCCAGCGTGTCCCTTACAGCGGGATACATGCCTACTCTGAGACCGCCGTTGATTAGAAGACGAAGCTAAACAAAAGTAGAGCAGGCGGGTTCTATTATCTCTTTTGAGAAGATTAAGATTTTATGTTCATCGCGTTGCTCGTGCCTCGTCATATCTCCACTATCAGTTTCACTATGTGATTAGTCCTCCTAGCTTGAATATCTGGAACCATTTTTGTTGAAACACCTCCTCGCCCCATAGATTTAGAATATCCCTGCAAACACTTGCTGGTAGGCCAGGTGCCCACAATCCGCGGACTACGCCATCCTCTGTTGCTATCCGGAAAACATTAAAGGGGTCGAGGAGAGGGTGTCGCAGATGTCGTGTATGAGTATAGGTGCTGGGTCGTCTTTCTAAATCCGATAATTTATAAGACAAGTAGATTGTTCGCGATTGATAAAAATACTCTGTAGAACAAATCTGTGCACACCGAAGATCATTGGGCCTTAAAAAGAGCGCGCACCGTTCCCCGATAGTACTTCTGCGCTACATCCTTTTGGAGTTGATGCTGCACTTGTAGGCGTACTTTGACCACGTCGAACGGATTCAGTATGACACTCGCTGTCGCTGCTGCAGTAGTGTTAGATAGCTCCGAGGAATGCTTTTACTCCCTTGAAAGTAAGTAGAAACAGAAAGGCACAACTTAGCGACACCAAGATGAAGATGTAAGGCTTCTTGAAATTATCATGACATAGCAATGCTGTACTTAAGCAATATTGAGATGGAGCTGGATTACTTACTTTTACAGGAAAAAACGAAAAGACATAATACTAGCCGCGCAAATCCCTTTCGCAGCATCGAAGAACTCCTTGTCAAAAGGATCTCTCAAGCGATTCCTTGGTTAGAGGTAGTTTTTCACGATTCTTGGCACTGGTTGAGTGGTTCCCCCGTTAGTTTCCCCTTGATTTCTAACGGGACGGAAGGAATCCACTCAGCATATGCTTAGTTCACAGAAATGGGACGAATGAATGAATGCACTTAGCCACTCTCCAGGGGATTAGGGATATTAAAAAATGTAAAAAACTAGCCTTAACTAGGAAGGGAATCTATATCCACGTCAGTCTCCATGCCAGCCGCCTGCTGCATCATGAGCAGCTGCTCCTGAGGAGAGCTGCTCGCAGAATACGTGAAGAGGTTGCCCATCTTGTCAGAGGAGTCTGCTGGTCGGAGGACGATGATGTGTTGGGTTCTTAGGTCTGATTTAATATCATATTTATTTCGGCTCACATCAACATCTTCGCTGCGATCACTCCTTCGCTGTGGCACTTCACAGGTGGCGCCTCTTCTTCTATTCAATTCAAACATTCAGGCCTCTCTGTCTGTGCACACGCTCATCTATATCAAAGTGGCCACCAACACCAAGTCTGGCGGTGCAACAGCACGAGAACCAATTTCAATCTCCAAAAATGGTACGATTTTTAGTAGTTGTACGTAGACCAAACATGAATTTTTCCAAAGAAGTACTTTGGTCATGTGCGAGGATAATTCGCTATGAACTCCTACAAAAACCTGCGGTCTTTGTCTTTATGTGATAAGCAAAATAAGAAGCCCTCGACTAGAATGCGGGAACAAAAATTTTCATTTTGATTTAATTTATCCGCGACCTGATAACGATGAAGGATATGTCGGCGAAGCTAACCTGTATTGGCGTCACAGTGTGATACTTAAAAACAACTTCTTCCCCCATTCTTTCTCTTAGTATCCTACCCATTAAATGAAGCTAGATACATGAGAACATGGAGCCAACCAACACCATAAGAGGGCTTTTCTTGAAGCGAAGCTGGTGCGTCGTTCGCCACGTAGTGTAGGCTGTACATATTGCAACCATCAAGGGGAGACTAGTGACAGAGTATCTATATTAAGACTTTTCCAAAATTACTAGAACTACTTGAATCATACAAAAGAATTTGGTCGAGTTGCACAGCTGCGTGGTCAAAATCAATGCACTTACACTTATCCCTAAGTGCGTGATTACTGAAAACAGCATCAATGTCATGCTACGCAGAGGAGCCTCCCATCACTACGTCCTCTGCGCCTGGCGTAGCACCGAGAATGTCCCGCAGCTCCAACGGGTCGTGAAACCTGTTGTAGTAGAGCTAGCGTTGTACTACTGCATATCTTTGTGATTGACTAGAGTTTGCTCGATGTTCTCCATTTGTTATTCTTTGACTCCGCGATCGGTCTACAACAAAGCAACTGCAAGAGCAAGCATTTACAAAAATGGGTCTGATTATTACTCGCATCTATGATGTGTAAGTCAGCTAGACTATTATGTCTAGTAGTGCCTGATATTCTCGCTCGGCGGTGCCATATACTTGGGTCCGGCTTTTGAGGTATCCAATACCACGGAAAACCAGGGATGCGAAAGGGCTTCTCTAGCAGTTATACGCTGCCTCGGTTCCACTGCAAGCATTTTTGTGGTTCGAGAAAGCAAAAGGTAGCTGTAACGTAACGAGATAGCACTCACAGCTAGTACACCCCCGGAGTAAACTAGTATGCTTTTTTTCCCGAACAAAGGCGAAGACGGTACTAGATAAAGGGTGAGAAAGCAGATCGAAAACGAGGAAAGCATGCCTCTTCCATAAGCTCAAGAGGCCCTTGCACTCGTCGGATACGTGGGCCCAATAGGTCTCTTCAAAAACTGCACCGTCACCGAAATTCGAAGGAGGATGGTAAATGAAAGGGATGGTTGGCAAGTGTAACTGTTGGAGATCATGGAGGTATTAACTCAAGATAATTATAAGGTTGTCGCGTCGGCCCCCTTTATGGGATTACTACTTGGTTGCGTTTTCATCTAGAAGATCGCTTCCCAAATCCGGACGCGTCTCGGCGCGTCCGATAAAAGGGGCAGGGCCTTCATCCTTCACCAGCACCTCCGCACTGCAATGAGTCGTCCTCTTCACACTGCAATATACCAGTGTGAAGAACATGCTTTATTAGCACTACGCTGCAAGCATGTCGTGCTAAAAAAATTACTTATGGTTATAGGCAGTATTTCCATCCATCACCATAAAAAACGGCTCATATCCGGCTATCATTCGGAACGCGCAAATTCCTAGTGCAAAAACGTCGACTCCGGGTCCATAGTCGCTCTCGCCTAGCATTTCTGGCGAGAAGTAGCCGGAGGTTCCGCGCAATCCCGTGAATGGTATGGCGCATTGACAGGACGTCGGGAATTAGATAGACAAGCGACCATGCTGAAGAAAAATCAATGAGGGGACAGATGAAGAACCACTACAACTCGTTGAAGGGAATGTCGTTCCTAAGTAAGAAGGCAAGAAAGGGGGAGCGGCGTTACAAATAGAAGTTCCATCCACAGGGGGGGGCTCCATCCCTGGTAGTACATACATAATTCTACTTCTTCTCATAATTATCAAGTTTCTTCAGTTCATAATTCGCAGCTTGCCATCTCCCCCCTTTCGTGCTGCGATTTGTGTCGTCGTTTTTCGTCTTTGAACTAACGCCGCTGCTGGCTCCTACTTTCTGACTGATCCGGTCGGCTGGTATACTATTTGATGCAGTGGCGCCGCCTATCTGCTCTGATCCTTTCTTCGACATTCCACCGCCATCTACTTCCATAGTGCTATCGTTCTTGCTTCTTTTCAGCGGCCCGTCGTCATTCATCTGGTTCAATACGTTGGTCTTGTCATCTTCGGCGCAAGTCAACACTTCCGTATTCTCAACTTGAACTTTGTCAGTCGACAAAGCAGGACTCCTTGGCCGATTTGCTGGCGAAGGAGGCACAAAACAGGGCATCCTTTCTGACAGTCCAAAGTCGCAGAGCTTTACCACGTATTTCCCATGACCAGAGCCAACAGATGTTGAGCAGGCGGTCGAAGAACTAGGGTTGCTCTTTTTCGCTTCGACATCGCTGACATCGGAGCACTTAGAAGAATGGGCCTCCATCTTCATCTGGGGGACTTGTTGTAAGTTTTGTTGTTGGAACCATAGCCTACGCTCTTTATAATATATGTTATGGTGTTTTGCTTTCCATCATAAAATCAATAGGAGTTCTGCTACCTGACGGAGAAGGCACCACGTCGAGCAACAAATTATGCGGCTTCAGGTCGCCATGCACGAGGCCTACCTGGTCATGAAGCAGAACTAGTCCCCTCAACGCCTGCCCTAAAAAATTCCTCGTCTCTTGCTCATATACGGTGTCGCCGTACCTGAGTTTCATCTACCTTTTGTGTTGCGAAGGAAGAGAGAGAAGGAGGGCGATTTTATATCTATTACTACTAGTCATTACGTCGTACGTGCTATCCTCTGGTGACGCCTCACCCTGAGCCCTGGAGGCCAGATCTGATATGTATCCAAGAATGAGCTTGCACACGCATCAAAAATACCTAATCAGTCCCCACAAGTCTCCGGCTGTGAAAAATGGCATGACCAGGATGACCGCATGTCTTGTCTCCTCTGTGGCTAGGAGGGGAACGACGTAGGGACTCGGAGGTAGGCCCTCGTGTAATCGCGCCTCCATCTGTGCACGTGGTAACTCGGACCCACCTCAAAGGATTTCGATTTATTTCAGGTAACAGGTCGTACGTAGCTATGTATAGTAGTTTTTAAGGCAGTCGGGTTCATGATCAGGATGAGGCTAGAGGTAAAAACTCTAGCTACATGTTCGCTAACGACTATAGCTAACATGCACTCAGCCATCACGAGCATGACTATCGCAGTAGAGTGCTTACCATTAGGAGGACACGACGATATGAGCTTGTCTTTGTCGACCACCTTGATGGCGACCGATGAGCTCTCCTCATCCGTCTTGCAACCAGACAAGACAACCGCCGTCAGCCCAGTTGCGTAGATAGGCGGGACATCAGGACTTATGCGGAACTTTCGGGCCAACGTAGAGCCCTCAAATCGAAATTAGAGCTACCGCTTAGCATCCCTGACCACTGACCCCTTAGTACCTTGAAAAAGAGGCCAAGGATGGAGCTGCGGATGCTTCAGTAGTAGTCTTAACGGAAGGTCGCCGTTGAGGTTGCGACCGTAGCTCCAGGACCTGTCATGCTCGCAAACGCAAGACATGTAGAAATGGAAGTTGTGAACGGCGCATCTTTGTTGTCACCTTTTTGAAATTTCAACGTTGCAGCTGGTGGTGGTGTCCCTCGTACTTGTACTAAATAAGAAGCCAGCTCTTGTCAACGAGTACGAGAGGTAGTTCTTTCAAATTTCAAACACCAAAGCCTTCAACTACTTGAGGTGATGGAAGCTATTGCAACTGAGTGTAGTTTTGCTTCTTTCTTGGGGTCTAGTACTACTACTAGATTACTCCATGAGAAAAAAATACCAAAAAAAAGACGCAAAAGAGGGCGGGTGAAAGTGGGAAAAGTCTCGCTCTCTACCTACGTCCCCCTCTTCGCTTACTACATTGCTCTCAGAAGGTTCATCTTCTCTCGTTTCTACGACCCGACCCGTTCACGTTCAGGAGGGTGTTTGGTCCTCATCGGGCATGCTGGTTCCTAGGCCTAAGTCTATCAATCATACAGGACATTCTGAGGCAGATGGAAACGTCCCTCGAACTCTAAAGGCTCTCCAACTTCTTGGCCCTAGAAGGTTTGCGCCGGCAGAAAAATAGGCAGTCAAGTTGTTGAAGTCAGAATAGCATCATGCTAGAGGGCCGCAATCATCAACGAACTGGGGGCCAAACTCTGGCAGGAACTGACAACGAAGGCACAACAAATCGCAGTGACCGCGCAGAGGTTTCGACATTGCGCTTTGATGCGAGCCAGACCCTCGTCTAGTTTTAGATCAGCAGAAATCACATAGGAATCAGGTAGCGTATCAGATAGCGTATGTAAGAGTTGTAATTGTGACTAGGCTGCTATCCTTGGCAGCATCGGCAAGCGGAAAAACATCTCCTTCTTACAGTGAGCTCGTGAGCACGATCAGTCTAAATTGGAATTATCAGTAAACTTGAAAGCTCTGCAGTAATCAGCGTATCTTCGGTCATCTATCGGAATCAACAAGCACTCAGGAACGAACTACTACATACTGTAACTGTAACTGCTTTTTATGACATAGACATTGATTTTTTTCATGAGTTTCTACCATTTCAACCACATTCACTACCCACCTCCCCCATTATTCGTTGTGCTCATCATTTCAAATCTTTCCCTCAGTCGTGCACCAAGCCCATTTTGCTCACGTCTTGGCATGAATTTTGAAAATCTTGCTCCTGGTGCGCCATCTAGTTGTTGGTCTCCTGATCCGGTACCAGAATTGTTCTTGTTCATCTGAAATGCATTACTACTGGACAGACCTCCTCCTCCCATTTCTCTATTCCCACCGTTCGCGCTTCCAGCTCCAAAGATGTTGGAAAATTTGCTTCGCGCAGCTGAGCCACCAAAAGTCGATAGAGATGTTCCACTTGATGAGGCAGATGCTGCTGTAGTCGTGGAAGAAAATAAAGGTCCTGATCCTGTTCCACCTCCAAGGGGTCCAAGATTGCCTCCACCCATATTGCGATTAGCACCCCCACCAAACAAGCCAGAAGAAACTACTGAGGATACTGCGCCGCCAGTAGGATGCGGATTTGGATTCTCATCTAATATACAACTCTGTGCACCAGCTGATATCGTCGAAGGAGTTCTTGTATCAACACCTTTCTTGGATGGAACCGATGTTGAACTATTGTTGAAGTTCTCAGCAACGCCATCTCCTGCTAGTAGTTTTCGTCTTTTCGCATCCTGTTCTCGCATAGAGTCGTCTTCGCCCACGACTGAGCTATCCTGGTCTGCTGTACCTCCAGGAAATAGTCCAAGTCCAACTACTTCTCCTAAAACTTTTTTACAACCACATGCAGCAAGAAAATCTGCTCCCCATTTTCCAGCTGCGGTTCTCACGATGGCAGCTGGGGAGGTACTAGATGAAGAACCTCCGATTCCTTGTTGTTGACCAGAAGATGTAGTTGTCCTCGGACAGCCATCTCGGGGCGTGTCTCGCGGTTGAGTCCCCCCATTGCTGACGAGACTGGATAACTCTGCCCACATGGCGTCAACTAATTCATTTTCTTTCTGCTCTACTAGTACGGCTGGTTGTACACAAGTAGTTGCGGATCCTCGCACTCCTTCCAAAAAATTCCGGAGTACCTTCTGAAAATGCGCTTTCGTCACTTCGCTTATGCTCTTCTTTTCCAAAAACGGGTGCCGCAACAAATCCGGGATCGTTGCCCTTGTTGCCACTTCCCGCCTCAAACACCCGGTCATGCTATCTAACAACTGTTGCCAACTTTCGGGGTCGTAGGCCAACCGTTCGCACCTTGGAAACTCGATTGTCGTCCTGGGATCCGAAATCGTCAGGATCCGTTGCATTGGGTTCAAATGCGAGAAAGGTGTTCTTTTGTAGATCATCTGGTACAAGATGATCCCTAGAGACCAAATATCTGAAGATCGACCTAGTTTCACTGGACCAGTATGCGCATGACAGACAGCCTCTGGGGCCATGTAGGAAAGGGTGCCGATTTGGTGATCGCGCTGGATGTTGGTCGTGTCGTTGTTGGGGATCGCACCGATTAGAGGAGAGAAAAAGAGGCATCTTCGGGAGGACTCTTAGTATACTATAGAGGCAACTTCGGGATACAACTTAGTAGGTACTATATAATTTTGGTACTCTATAAGGATACAACTTAGTACCTACTATATTTATTTGGTACTCTATAATTTAACCACTCTGAAAAAAACGTAAGTCTGCTACTCCTCTAATTCATTGAATGTAGTCACCCAACATTTTTGGTTCTTAACTTCGCGATCCCAAAGTCGATCAACTGCAGTTGATTCCTCACTAGCAAGAAATTCGCAGGCTTCAGGTCCGAATGCACAATCCGCTCTTCATGCACGACTTGAACCGCTTCAAGCATTTGGAGCCAAAAACGCCTTATTTCTGGGAAGTCCAAGTCGGGTTCTGTATGCAAAAACCTAGAGAAATCGCTGTCTCCGTACTCCATCAACACCATCAAGCGCTCGTTCTGGATCACCTCATAGTCTAGCATTTGGATGATATTGGCTTTCCCACGCAGCTTTTCGAGTAGGTGGACTTCATTCTTGAAGAGTGTGAATTGGGTCTTGTTTGAAGTGAGGACGCGTTTCAATGCGAGAATCTTCCCGTCACGCAAATCCATCACCTTGAAGACCTTGGAGGAGCCGCCACGTCCCACAACGCCTATTTTTCGATAAGCGATGTTGTTGACCATTAAGACCTTCTGGCCATCCACAACTTTGACGCCATCGCCATGCTCCGTCTGTTCCTCACTGCTGAAGCTACTGTTCATAGTGCTCTTGTGAGAAGAAGCACTACGATTAAGTTTGCTCGATGACGGTGGAGCAGAGTTTACGTTGTTAGCATCTTTGTTGGAAGATGACGAGGCTCCTCCTTGTTGTCCTTGTTGAGCTACTTGGATGCTGCTAGGAACGAGATTCGGTTTGTTACTCTTCTCATCAACAACATTCTTTTTCGGATTCTGGTCTTCCTGTGATGCTTGCCCGTCTCTCCTTAGGATCCCACGCTTTGCTGTGCTACTACCATTGTTGTTATTAGGGTTACTCGACGAGGACGCACCTGGTCCAGAAAGAACCCCCGGACCAAATAAGTCATCACCATCGTCGTCCTCTAGGTGTTTGTTATTCGATGACGCCTTGATGTGGTTCATCCCCCGTAGTTTATTCTCTTTCTCTGCAGTATTAGAAGACGCGAGAACAGTGCCTCCACTTGCTACAGAAGGAACACGATGAGGCTTCATCTTGCTGCTTTCATTTGCGGCACCTCGCTGAAGTCTACTAGAGGCACCACGACCACCTCCTATGTCCTGATCTTCATTGCTACTCCCTGAACTACTTCGTAGATTCGCGTCTTCTTCGATGATAGGCGACAAATTTGTGTTCTGCGTACTGTCGCACAACATCATGGACACAGATTGGCGTCTCAATTCCTCTTCGCGTTCCTTTTGCCGCTGTTGTTCTTCTTCGTACTGCCTTTTTTGCTCTTCTCGGCTTTCAGGTGGACCTAGATTTCTCAGGGCACGACGACCGCCGAATCCGCCACCTGAAGATGATGTAGTTGAACTATTCGCACCCACGACCGCCGAATGTTCTTGGGCACCTCCTGTAGTTGACGATGATGATGATGATGATCCACCGATCGCAGTGATGCCAGCTCCTGGGATATCAACGACGGATAAGGCAGCAGGATTGTTGGATGAGGACGATGGCTTGTTCCGGCTCTCGCCTGATTGATGCTTTTCTCCACCTCCATTATTCAAAGGCGATAAAAACAAATCTGCTGTAGGGTCTTTATTGCCAACGCCTCCAACTCCCACTAGCAAAGGCTTACTGTTCTTCCTTCTCACCGATGAACCAGGTCCTTGTCCGCCTGATGATTCATCAAACGCAGACCCAAAACTGCTCTGCACTCTTTGCGGCGGCGACCTCACCTCGTGTTCACCCAAAAGGCTGTCGCCGCCAAGAAGCCCGCTACTGTTCATGCTGGCCTCCTGATTGAAGGGTAGTTTATCCTTGTCGTAGTTCTTGTCTGGACTGTTGAGCATTCCAATTGTTCCTATTTCCTGCGATTGAGGGTTTCTATACGAAGAATCGAACAGCTGTCTTTGTCCCATCGGTGGTCCTGCGTTTCCGAATCTACCTCCTGCACTAGAAGTATGAGTACGTGAATTGCTGTTTGCGGTTCTGTTTGTGGTACCACTAGAAGAGGAAGCGGTATTAAACGTAGTAGTACGACCACCACCGCCAGCTGATAGAAGCGCTTCGTTGACACTCGCACCTCGTTCTCTTTCAGAGCTGAGATCTCGCCGTTGCGCAGATCTCTTCCCCGATGCGAATTGTGCGAGACTTTTGTCTATTGTTCGACGCGCTGAGCCGAAGATCCTGCCACTGTCTTCGCGCTGAGTATGATTTGCACCATGATTGTCCCCTCTACTAGGACCACCATTTTCACCGCCCTCTGCGCCACTGTCGTCTCTATACGGTGCCAATGCCGATCCAGGCAAACCCTGCTGGAGTACATTGGTCAGTCCGGTCATTGGTGTCTGCGCATTTGCGTTTTTAGGCGTCTCAATGTTTCTTAAATGCTTCTGAGCACTGTTAGCTTGGAGAAAGGGCTTCTGGGCACTGTTTGGTTGTCCTTGATGTCCTCCTACTAGGTGCATATTAATATTACTCGAAGATGTAGAAGATGACGTTAGGCCCCCTGCTCCAGAACCTGTCGGAGCAGGAGGTATGTTCTCGTCATTGCCATGTTGATCCAGCTGATTAGGGTTGTTGCCGGATGGAAAACCCTGGTTAGGGTTGTTGCCAGCTGTCCTGTCTCCATACTTGTCCCTTTCCTGGATAAGTAACTTCAACTGCTTCGATAACTGTTGTTGTTTGGAGTTTTTGAAATTCAGCATCTTCAACTGCTTCGATAACTGTTGAGTTTTTTTTAAGGACGTCGAGGCTTGCAGCTCTCTTTTTACGAAGGAAAAAGGAAACGAATCAAAAGTTGGACAAGTTGAGTCTGATAAAAAACATGAGTGACTACGCTAACGCTTGCAGGTGAGCGAGTTCAAGTTGGCCATCTAGACGAGAAAGGGAAGATCGATTGAAAACAACTATTTAGCGGCGTAAGTTTAGAGGTAGGTTTTTGGTGCTCGCTTACCCCGCTTTTTATGCCTTTCTCCCTTAGGAGAGGCATAAAAAGCTGCAAGAAAAGCACCTTTAACCTACCCTTAATAAGTAGTACCATTTCCCTCCCTTTCATCAATCCAGCATCGTCTTCTGGTATCTCCGCCAAACCGGTTTTCAAAGTGTTGATTGCTGCTTTCCAGTTACCTCGGCTGTGTTCCCAAGCAGCTTTACCACTGCTCATTGCCGGCAACCCTGTGCCGATCTTGTACTTCACCATCGTCTTCCATATTGTGTCTACCTGTGACTTCTGGCCCATCTGCGAGTACAATTCTGCTGTGCCCAACATCATTTGGAAGAAAGCCTCGCTTCTTTTTAGAAAGAAAAGGGTGCGGCGGACATTGACGCTGGTGACAGTGATGTAGCTGAAGATCCTTATGATTTTTCAAGTCCTTGTATCACTCTCAATAGAGTGCTTCAAGTCCTCGAACGTTTCAAACTACTCAAGGAAGTATCTACCAGTATCATCAAACACTTCTTAACTTCTGATACGCAGTTGCAGGGTTCTTTTTGATGACGCTGGCTGCGCAGTAGCGCTTCAAAGCGGACAGACTGTCGACATCGTACTGCGTGGTGCGTTGCAGTGCTGCAAGTTGAGCCAGGGTCTTCTCTAGATCACCCTTGCAAGCATCAATCGCAGCCTTACTGCGACTGCTATGGCCGCCTCCAGCAGCATTTCCCACTGGAGGTGCTGCAGCGGCAGTGGATGAGCCAATATTGTTGTACGACTTCATTTCGTCACTACCTGCGCAAAGGCATGCATAAACCGAATGGATCAGGTAGTATTGTTGATGAAAGACGGCGCCATGACTTTGATGGCCATCTTGTCGTCCATTCTCTGAGATAAATTTCAATTATGCGAATTGATAGTACTGAAGTATTTGCGCGAGAACTTATCTTCATGTGCTTACACGCTGTAAGAAATCATTACTGCTAAAACTTACACCTTCACATGCGCTACTTCTTTGAGGGAATCCATGATGATTTTTCCAGAATCTCCTTCGTATGATCGATTATACTTGAGAATCAAAGAACCCGATCCGGTTCTACTGGGGCGGTTCCGAGGCGATGGCTGTTACTCAACAGCAACAGGACATTTAAGGAGCAAAGCAAGAACTGACTTTGCAGTACGATTCCGAAAAACGAACGAAGCAGCTACTTACGCAAAAGCCTATAGATACGGCGAAGGTTCCTTCGTCTTGTAGAAAAAGTCAGTTCGTCGATGTGACGTTGATCACATATTGACTGGTCACCAGCCATCTAGTGGCAGTAGTGCACCATAGTTTCTTGGTCACCCACATGGACATACTTCGTCCTTGTTGACTTGTCATGTTCTCGGAAAAAGGAGGTTGCTTGGTGGAAATGGAACAAATTCGAATTCGATGAAGATACTATCTATCAGTACTTAATACAACTTGCACGATTGCATGAACATTTCGTTACACTGTGGACATGAACTCGTACTCTAGATTCATCTTGCAATGAAGTTATGACATCACTATTCAACTTCTGTTCAAAAAGTTCTGCTTTGTAAGTATCCACTACTAGTAATATGCACATGATTCTACTGTTCAACATCTTCACTTCTTTGACCTCTTCCGCTCCTCAAGGGCACCTGTGACATGTCGTCCTCGACTTTTGGATGGGGAAACGGAAGTCGCAGAACTTGATTCAGCTTCTGACGAGGTCGAGAAAGCTGTTGCGGGAGGAGGAGGTGGTGCTGCAGTTGTTGAACTAGAACTTGTACCGGGACCACTCCTAGCTGCTGTCCCGCGACTAGGCACTTCCTGTCCACCTCTGTTCGTATCGAGAATTCTACTGCGACTTCTAACTGGGACTTCTGCAGATGTAATAGTAGTAGAGTTGAAGCCAGATGAAGACTGCGGTCTTCGCACACTAGTTGTAGAGACAGTGGCAGGTCTAGTAGCGACACTGGCAGGTCTAGTAGAGACACTGGCAGGTCTAGTAGAGACACGACTGGCAGGTCTAGTAGAGACACTGGCAGGTCTTGTGTTGCTCTGCTGCTGAGAAGAGGAAGAAGAGGTGGAAGTTGTCCCAAGAAACGGCGACGCGAAGAGACTCCTGATGGCTGTGCCGATAGTATTGCTAACCGTCTGGTGGGGTGGCTGTTGGGTTGTTGAAGATGCGGGGGTAGCAGCACTAGGTGCGGCAGGTCTTGCCCGTGTTGCTTGTGGTCTGACAGTAGTAGAGCTGGAAGAAGGCGGTGCTCTGCGAGGAGGAACGGGCGCGGTTCCTCGACTAACACCTCCAGCGGCAGTGGAAATGGATGTTGGCACGACCGGGCGCCTATTAGCAGCAGTAAAAGACGTTGCAGTTGAATTTCCTGATGGTCCATGCGCTGCTGCATTCCTTAATGCCATCATAGTAGTTGCAGTACCTCCTTCAACATTTTCATCAGAACTTTCTGAACTAGACGCCGCATTTGAAGACGAGCTTCCGCTAGCATTCGAAGATGAACCCCCACCAGCTGAAGTAGTTGCCCCAAGAACATCACCTTCTTCCCCCGACGAGGAACTACTGTGGTCGCCTTTTTTGCTTTTGACAGCCAAGGATGAAGCAGTGGAGGTAGTTGTCTGTTCCGGTCCTTTTTTGTTTCTTCGAGCTTCGACTTCACTATCTGTGACGTAGATAGCTTCTGTTAAGGTCCTCTCAGTAGTCCTTCTACTAGTAGCTGTATTACCCCCACCACCTCCCCCCGGAGCAACATTCACAGGTGTAGTACTTACTTCCTCGTCCGAAGACACTGCCGACGTGTCATCCTCCAAGTTATTTAATACTGCTGTCTGAGTCTGGCCTTGCCCTTGTAGGTATTCTTCTATGTCAACTGGTGCAAAAGTGTAGTCTACCTCGTCTAGCCAGTCGTCCTCCTCGTCTTCATCGATATTGCTCAAAATTTCGTCGAAGGGGACTGGCGGTAGCTCTCTAGACAGGAGGTCTTGGTGGCGTCGGCTGGCGTAACTCGTAAACAGGAAGTAGTTTGCGCTCACCGTTATGAGGAAAATAAGCCCGACTAAGAAACCGAAAAGCAAGACTTTCCACGGATGTTAGAGTTACCCTTACCGCATTGGCATCTTCCTGGAGGGTCATATCCTTGGGCGCGTCTTTTTCAACTAGAAAAGGAGCCAAGGATGACGTTGAGGAAGAAGGCTTTCTCGGTAGCCTTAATGATGGGAGACTTTTTCTTCCCAAAAAAGTTCCTCCTCTAAGCACAGGCCATACTCGTTTCCGGTCAGGTCTTTGGCAGGATGGGCGGCGAGATCTGTTGTGAAAACGAAAAATAGCTGATCGGCAGTTTGCTAAAGCTAGAGTACTAACTATAGAGTGAACTTTTCTCAAACCCACCATATGGTGGAAATATCGTAATTCACTATGAAGGTACGAGGCACCAGAGGCACCAAAAACAGACAGCCCTCGCGTATTTCTATTCAGTAGATGGATGCGCACTTAGTTAAGAGGTGACTAACTAATCAACGACCACAGACCGACGCAGGCAGGCAGATGATCGACATGCGGCGCCAGAAAACAACACTGAACACAGCCGCCGTCGCCAATTAAGCCCTCGCTTGCCCAAGGCGGTGACGTGGGAATCAATCACGCGAACCACGAACACAAAAACGGACCAATCCCGAAGCTGCTACCACCCCGCCAACCCTCGTCAGAGTAACCACAGAAAGCCACGCGGGCAGAGCCAGCCCAAGGGAGCGAGCTGCCCCCCTCAGAGGAGCTTCCTCCGAGCAAATTACCAAGGTAGAAATTAAAAGGGAGGCCTTCTTGCGCTATCACTGCGCTTTGCCGGCGTCCTCCGCAGCGTGTCGAGGCCCCCGACCGATGCGTTTCAAGCAAGTGCCGCGGGCTCCCAAACGAACAAGCCCGCGCGAGTGCGCCGCCCTTCCTTTCACAAAGCCACCCAGCCCCCGCACCCGTTGCCGCGGATGCAATACCCCAGAGGGGGCCACGCACTCAACCTCGTCCCGGCGAGCGCGACGCTTGGAGCTTTTGGACGCCCGTCTTTCTTTTCACTGACAAAAGTGGACGCCGATGAAGAAAGGCGCGGGCCTTGTTCTTGCTGCGCGCGGGAAGATCATTCATCGCGATGCACCTCAGCACCGGCACGCTGGTGGCTCAGTCGGTCCACGTAGTTCAGCCGTTCTAGTGCAGCATCTTCCAGGCGTAGTACCCTTCAAGGTGGAAACGGCATCACAATCGGCAGCCCCAACCATGGCGCGGGGGCCGTGGCGCTGATCTTCCAAAGCTGACCCACAACCAAGTGGCCACCCCTGACAGCTTCGATCGACACACCACGAGCCTGACAGCCTCAGCGCGCGCGCACTGCATCCGCCCATTGCTCGGCGAAGCTCGCCGCTGTCAGGCCATTCACCGAAGAGTGAAGCCCAGCCAATAGCTGCCACTCTTCACGCGCATCACAGCCGCGCGCCAGCGACACGCCAGAAAGTCACACCGACCAGGCAAGCCAAGGGCGGGGCTGCGTGCAGTCTGGGGCAAGCACTCCCTCGAACCGCGTTGATTTTGTTCAGCGGCGAACGCCGTGGCAAAAGTGCGCAGCCAGCCCCACTGACATACTACCATAGTGCCGCGGACATTGCGAACAAAGTCAGCACTTAGATAGCCACACCTTCGCGCATCCCTCCAGGCACTCGCCTGGGACACTCTCGCCGGGTCCGTCGGTCCATACGTGCCCAAGCTCCAGCGGCCTCAAGTGGGGGCCTGCTCGATTCTTACCACTAGAGAAGTTGCTGGCGGGCTGCTTGCGGTTAGATTAACTAGCGCTGCTCCCAGTGCCTGCCTTGTTGGCCGGAGCTTCACCGGGGTCATCCCCAGAACCGTCGTCGCCCTTCCCCTGATTGAGGACCTGCTGGCTGCCTTAAATAAGGGAAACGCGGTCGCATATCGCCAAGCATCACGGCGCGACTTTTCTTTGAAATGCGGCAACAGATTTAACAGAGACGGCAGTCGCTGGGGTTCGTCTTTATGTAAGAACTGCGGCCGCGACACCCAGATCGGCCAGACTGCATCGCTTGGGGTGTAGTCTCGAAGATAGCCCCATCGACCGCGCCAGGAAAAACGCCGACTCAGACTAGCATGAAGGCCGGCGCTATCTCCTTCTGAGGATGCTACTGGTAGAAGCCATCCAAGTGCGGCCACTTCATCGCTCGAACAACGTTCATGATGTCGACGCCCGCGCACGGATTGCGCAATTCCGAAAATCAAAACTAGGACGCAGGATGAGGGTCAGTTCGCGTCTGCAGGTGGTGTTCTGGCTGACTCTCCCTTTCATCAAAAAATACAGACGCGAAAACTCTCACCGAACGCGTACCGCCGCCAAATCGCGCGTATTCTTGTCCGAAGCACACGCGCCACGAATCGGAGGAGGTGCCTGACTTTGATAAGCTATCCACTCTTTCGCGGGATACGTCTCCAGTAGGTCGAGTTCTTTTGCTTTTCTATTACGCAAGTTGGTGCCGTTGTCTCCTATATGTTGAAGCCAAAGTAGACGCGAGCCCTTTACGACTGCACTGCTGACCCTGCCCGGCCCCCGGCTTCCAGCGCCGTCAGATGTAAGCCCGCGCACCATGCTCCGGCAGCATGCCTGCGGCGGCCGCTAATATTCCCGCCGCGAAGTCGTGCGCGCAGAGATCCATGACCATCCTGGGGGTAAACGCCTTTGCTGTTAGAGCCCCCCCAGCGGTTGCGTTTCACGTTTTAACTCCTACCCTAACTCGGATTAAACTCTTGGCACATGCTCGGGCTCGTTTCTGCTGTTAAGGGGGTCAGCTTTTAAGCCTAAAAAAAACCAGCCCGGTCGCATTTTTTGGCGCCTGAAAACGCAGAAAAAAAGAAGGCGCTTCGGGGTCTTTGTTTCCCTTTTATGCAA